AAGTCATTCACATCAAAGGCAGTATGCAGTTGACATCGATTGTCCAGTTCTTCAACTTCTTGAAGCACAACGAGAGGACGATTTGTGCGACTCTGACTGCACCTTGCTGGCCATGCGCTTCTTGTGCGTTGTTTTGGCAGTCTTGGTTGAATTTCTGGCTCTCTGTGATGAAACTGAACTTGAATCCAATGTGATGACAAATGCTGAACTTCAAGAATGACAGCTCGTGGGTAGCCCAGGCTGCAAAGTAAGGCCATCAGTTTTACCTCTTCAAGCTCTGTGGTGGAGCTATGTGCAAAACATCCATTTTCATCCGCAACGTCGTCATGGCAGAACATGTACTGATATTGTTGGTCTTGCTGAGTTGAGATAGCCTCATCAACGCAGAGCATGATATTGCGGAAGGGACATGCAAAGACCTCACATCTGTGCCCCCAGTGGGACAGTTCCTCCTGTACCTGTGCTGCTGTGCCCGGCATCGGTATTTCAAGAGGATTGGGCAGGCCTCTGTGGCTTGTACGGTCAAGAAGCCGGACTGCTGTCGTGGCGTGACCAGATGGCAACAATTCTTCAAGGTAGATCACCTGCTTGGCCGTGGAGACTTGTAGGAGACTTCCTCCATCATCTTCTTCCCATGCATTCATGTGTTCTTGTTGTGCTCCCATAGAATTGGCATACTGAGTGTTCTGTAGGTGTTGAAGGACTTGAATGATAGTGACAATTCCAATTCCATGTCGGTTACGAATTGCAATCTGTCCTTCAATTTGTAGATCACCATGCCAAACCATGCACTGCAGTGAAGAAAGCTCCGGATAACAGCGATCCGCAACTCCAGCAAAAGCAATTGCTTGGGGTTTTGAAAGATGTAGGGGGGCAAATCTCGCACAATGTCGAACTGGTCGTTCTGTTGGGCCCGTCGTCACAATCGTGAAAAGATTGGAAACACCATCATGTGGAACACGTTGTACAACAATGACTTGCAATCTTCGTTGGCGTTGTGTTGCAGTGGCCGGTGGTGTCGGTCTGACTACATGAAGGTCGATTGGCCAAAAGGGGTCCAAAAGATCATTCCATGTTTCCGCAATAATTCTAAGCCATGAAGTGAAATCTTGCCGTAGAGCAACAGTACGATGTTGTTCGCAGCTGAGATATCTGGGCATGTCAAGGTACCACGTGTCAACTTCCATGACGCGATCCCCTTCTTCTCTGGCAGTATCATCAGCGAAAACATGAGAAATCCAGTGCATGAAGATCTGTTGGATGACTGCAGGTTCTGCTTGGATACCCTGAGGTGCTTCAATTTGAGTGGTGCGGATACTATCCAATGAATTTTGTTGATATGGCAGTTCTTCTGGAAGGCGTGCTTGGACTTTTCCTGGCACACAATCTGAAAAATGTGGTGGCTCCTCAAGTGGTGGCATCACAACTCGATGGACCTGCAGGAACAGTGCACCTTCTCCTTCAACTTCATCATGCTGATCCCGTAACCTCCGCATTCTGGGAACATGAGGAGGTCCGATCGGTTCATCGAGCCATCCCACACGAAAAAGAGTATGTCGCATGAGGATCTCTTCAATGTTGTGGCCTTGGTGAAATGCTGTTGCCAAGCACCTCGTGGAGATGTGGTCAATTCCTGGACTTCCAGGAGGAACTGCAATGCGTATGTAATCTCCATCAGAAAGGTACACTCTCGGAGCGCCAAAAGCAATGATCTCTTCGTTGACCCAAATCAAACATCGATTCCTTGACCGAAGACAGAAAGGATAAAGCCCAAGTCCACGCAGCAACTGCTCACGGCTGACTACGTCTGGCAGCAGCCTTGCCCGTCTGACAACTTCAGGCATGACAAGAGGTTGAGCTGCATGGAACTCCACATCGAGCAAAATAAAACATTCTGTAGAGCCTACAGGTAGATCATGTTTGCGCTGGGCGATCACAACTCCTGTTTGTGCGCGATTGACATCTTGTGGTGGCACAACAATGGTGTGCAGGTAGAAAAGATCAGCAGGATGTATGGTAAGTGCTCTTGCAACACTCATATGCATGTCCTGGTAGTCTTTCCAGTTGAGCCATAAAGTACCTGGGCCACCATCAAGCGTGTAAACCAGAGTAGTATACCAATCTTCTTCTAATTGCTCTGAGTCTGGTTGTATTGGAAATGAAGATGCTGACGATACTGATGACACAGGCGAAAGATCATCAGGATCCCTGGCTATGTCTCGATTGTCCAGGATCGCATCTTGTGGCCCCTCACGAGGCAATTCAACTTGATGTCCATCTCTGTGTGCAGGCTGCGCTGCAAGAAGTGAAACAAAATCTGAGGTCTCCAGGGTGTAGGAATTCTCATCCTCTGCACCGTGGATCTTTGGTGGTTGAAAACCTTGGCATAGGACTGGTGCTTTTTGGTGTGGAACTCCAATAGAGTGCATCAGCCGTGCCATTTCGAAGTCTTCCTCTGCACCCACATAGAGGTCAACTTCAGGGTGAAAGCGCACCCTGTGTATGGAGGGTTTCTTGACACATTCAACAAGGGTGTAGAAGGACCGCTGCTCTCCCATCCCAACTTCGTGGGCTAAATCAACAGCGTCGATGCTAGCTTCCCAAGGTGATATGTAGTCCTCATCGTCGATGAAACTGTGGTTCCAGATTGTTGTTTGATCATGGAAACACAGTGGGATCGCCGGCCTTGGGCAAACCTCTGAGAAGTCTATTTGCCCGGCCCAGGGAAAGGCGAAAGCGCTCCAGATCCCAAGGCTGATCCATCTTTTCTTGGCTTTTTGGCCGTGTGTGCTTCTTCTTGGATTTCTTCGTTTGGTCGCACTCTGATCTGCTGAAGGCTGTCCACAACAGAATGGATACTCTTCTGGATGGCCTCCGCAGAGTCGACCTTCATGTTGTCCTCGTCCAGCTCCCCGTCGGAAATCACCTCCGTTGCAAGGACTTCTGCATCCTGCTTTGAATGCAGTTCCTTCACCTCGTCTAGATGGGCTCTTGATTCTTGGAGAATCTCTCTCGCAGAGAGCACCTCCTTCTCTAGGGCCGCATCCCTTTTGGCGAAATCTTCTGCGAAAGACTGCCATCGCTTGATGCTCTCTTCCACATAGTTGCTCCAAGCAGTATGCAGCTTCTGTCTGGCCGCTGTAGCTGCTTTGAACTTGTCTCTTGCTTGATCGACTTTGCGGACTGCTTGGTGCATGCTCTTCGAAGTCACCTGCTTGTTGGTAGATTCCGCAATGATCTCTTGTATCTCCTGAGGAGAGAGAGCTTGGTCCTTCGTCTGTAGCTTGCTGACCAAAGTCTGCAGTTGTTGTGCCGCTGCATTTTGATCTGTGCTGGCTGATGCCGAAGTCGTTGTCGATGGCATAGTTGGCAGCTGCTTCGCATTCCATGGAGGATCGAGGGCAGGTACCAAATCTTTGTCTTTGTTCTTGCGCCTGTTGGCCCTTGGGGTGGAGCCTCTTGTCTTCTTTGCACTGTTTGCTCTCGGCGACTTGGAAACTCTTCTGTGTCCAGTCCATTCCGTGTCGTCTTCTTCCCAACTCGCATAGCTCCACGAGGCTTTTTGCTTGCCTTTGGTGCCGTGGACATAGGAATTGTCGATGCATCGATGCCACATTGTGTCGCATCGGCCACATCTGAGCGCATTCATCTTGTTGAGCCTCATGCAGAAGCGGCATCTCCACGGTTCTTTGGTCGATTCCGCCATGATGCTGTTGATCTTGGCGATGAAAGAACTGTCTTTGGAATGATGGCTCCTCAAAACTTTGGCAAGATGTCCCAGGTGTAGATGGTTGAGACAACAAAGTCCCCTTCGATGACAATGCCACCAAAAACGAGCTGTTGCTCTCTGCCGCCTGGTTCTCCTCCTCTTTGCAGGAGTGATGGTTGCCAAATTGTAGCACGTAGGCAATCTGACAAATGAGGTAGAACTTGACCAAAAAGCCCATGTAGTAGCCCTGAAGGCCCAAGATCGTCAGGACAAAGTCAACCGCGAACTTATAGGGAATCAGGAAGTACCAAAGAGGCAATGGCCCACCCAGGAGGTTTTACGTGGCTGGGACCACGGCAGGAAAAGGTGGTACTTGAGTGGCTAGCTCAAGCAGAGCACTGTGATCTCGACCAACCAAAAATCCAGGGTAAAAACCAGTTCAGATAGATGGTGGTGTAGGAAAGGCCAGTGAACCAAAAGTTATGGCCCGGGGGCAGTGAGATCGGAACCCCCTAAGGTAATGGAGACACAAATCGTGGGGCGCTGTCAGCCAAAACCTTATATAAATGTATATATATAAATGGGGAATGATAGATGGGGAAGTAAATGATATATATATATATAATATGTATATATATACATATATATAGCTGGAAATATGATCTAGATAAATGGGGAATTTTCCATTGCCACGTTGAAAAGGAGGGGAAGTAAACACGAAACTGAGTATGCTCCAAGGAATCAACGTTGCTTTTTGCTGCTCATTTCACTGAAATCCGCCAGTCAGAAACTAGAACCTTGTGGCAACTTCTATGGAATCTTTTCATCTCATTCAATGCATAGATTGCAGAGTCGTTTCTACTAGTGGCTTCAAATACTTTTTCACTTTTCATCTTTACCTCACCTTTTGTGATGTCATCCCAACCCATCCTGAGATTTTTGGCGGCAATCTCACCAGACATTTCTCAGTTCAAAGTGGTTTACAAAGCTAAGTTCATAGGGATCTATCCACGATACACCAACTTAGAGTTGTTTTCTTAAAGCAGTTCTGGAGAAGTCTGGAGAATAACTAACATCCACTAAGTTATAGTAGTTATAATAGTCACATTTAATCCCCGAAACAACCCATCCACCACAGTTATGGCAGCCATAACAGCCATAGAAAATTCCCCCCAAAAACACCAGTTATAGTAGTAAAAAAAGGCAACTGACCTATAATTCTAGTCGGTAAAGCCAACCAAACTTGATATATCTCCAAGCCCGCTGGTCACTGAAATCCAAAGTCCTGGAGGACAAGGAGATGATTCTGAAGTCCATGTTTTTCCAACGTTTGAAGAACTCCTGCGCCATCTTCCAAGAAGAGGGTCCACAGTGGCTGATGGAAGGTGCAAAGAAAATAGGAACCGCGGGAACCGCGGAACCTGTGAGTTTGTCCGAAAATAGGAAACGCCCAAAATATCCCAAGGATATATCATTATTGGTCTTATTAAAATGGTTATTTGGGGGAATACACCATTTTCAGACATACACCATTTTCAGACACAGCCATAGCTGTCCATAAGTGATTATCTATGGTGTGATGATGTTAGATATAGTGATCAAGTATGTCTTCTATCTATAGATGGAGGCTTCCAAAGTCATGGTGATACCCCAAATCATCCAAGTCATGGATGACCACTTGGGGATCGCCCATGACTTGAGAAACCAACACAAGGAGTATTCATAATGAATGAACAAACAGATAGAAAAGTACAAATTCCACCAAAACAAGTGCTAGATTCCTTTTCGACATCTTTTTAGAAAGTTGCTATATAGCCGATTTTCAGCCGTTTCGCCGTTTCTCAGTGGCAGGATGATCGGATGAACTTGGGAGAGATATTGAAACTTGAAACGATGATTTATTTGAGCACCTGTATAGCTACAATGTGAGGCCTCCAAGATAGCCGAGTTGGTTTATAAGCCCCAGTAACTAGTTGGTTATAAGTACCATAAACCATAGTTATTGGAGTTATGTTCACCAACTTAGCGTTCTCGAACGGGGGCCTCACTAATTGTAGGAAAGCATCGATCCCATACAGATCCAAGGTGCACCTCCTGCCCAGGTTGCAATGAAAATGTGGAAAACTTGGCGATGGCGATTTTGTGGTTTCTGGATGTCAAAATGGCGGGGGGATCAAAAAGTTGAATTGGAAAAGTCTGAAAATGGTGATGAAATTCTGGCTTGAAGATATCATGTCAAAATGAGAATGATTCAAAAAGGGGGGAAACCACCACATTGACCGGATTTGGGGGCTGGGGTGACCTCTTTTTGGACAAGTCCTTATTCAAGCATGGTGATCTTGGGGCAAATAGCGCTGATCATCAGTACCCATCATCGCGAAGCTCTGTTATATGGCAGTCGATCTAAAGGTCCTTGCAAGGAGTTTTAATTGCGAAAGCCGTTCGTGTTATGTTGGAAACCCTCGCATTTTTTTTTTCGAATTTGCGTTTTTTTTTCTTTATTCGCGAAAGATTCGCCAAAGTTGGATAGTATGAATGGTCTTGAAGCACATCCTTACCTGCCGCTGGTACTGCCTAACGTTGCTTTCTGAAGCCCCAAGAAACAAACTCCAAATGCAGCAGGTATTTTCGCGAAAGTTCCGCGAAAGAGTGGGCGAAAGTCAAAGTACATTTTGAAGCGAGTGGCCCAGTAAACCTTGCAAGAGACTGCCTGATGAATTAATCTTCATAAGAGGAGTTGTTGCTTAACATGGGTTCCGCGAAAGATAAACATGTAGCTCGCGAAAGATCCACCCACCAAAAATATTTGCGAAGAATGGCCGTTCGCAGATAAAGGAATTTTGATCAACCATCATATGTCAGATAAGCAAGACTAGGCAGAAGTATTTTGAAGGTAGAGCGAGCCTGTCAGAACCCACCGAGTTATCATACATAGATACACATGTCAGCACTATATATATATTATATATATATGTATTTAGAGATATTTTTGTACATGCCAGAATAGGTCGCACTTAAAACGTCAGAACATGTGTTAGGTAGAAATGTCAGAATATATTGCAGATCACATGAATCACATGTCATTCTTTTTTTTGAACATATCAGGGGCTAATACTACTCGAGCAAGAAATACTAACAGAGGCCTGCGTAGTTTCAGTAGCAATAACAAAAGGATTTTAACCAGACAAAATCGTAGGCGGTCGAACCGGCGACAATTTCGACAATTCAAAGCTTGGTATCACCAGTTTGTGGCTAAACCAATAGCCCCAGAACGGCACTTGCGACAGTGCAAAAACCAGCATGCTTTTTCGAAGTCAGCCATGCTGGACAGAAGTGCGCGAAAGAGCCTGTTTCAAGAATTAAAAAACCCAAACCAAACGGACAAAACAAAAAGGACTTTCAAACTCAGATATAATCGGCCACTGAAGGTTGCCACGCTGAACGTAAGAGGGTTATCTGGAGAAAACGGGTACGTTAAAAAGAGGCTCCTTGTTGACATCATGAAGAAAGAATGTTATGATCTTTTGTTGCTTCAAGAAACCAACCATAACAAGAAAAGCGTGGAAACCGTCCAAGGCTATGATTTCTTTTTCAGCACAGACGTTTCACCGCGAGATGCTGTACAGACTGAGAGAGCAGGAGTTGGTATTGTCGTGTCAACCCAACTGAAACATTTTATCCATGATATCAAGCAAATTTCGGGCAGACTCATGTCAATCAGTCTGAGATCGAAGGGTCGCAATCTGTGTTTTAGCTCCTGTTATGCGCCACACAGTGGACATGATACAGAGAAGAAAAATAAGTTCTATGATGAAGTACAAGCACATGCCAGAAAAGCCAAAGGCATACACTTTCTTGGCGGTGATTTTAACGCCAGGCTTCACCACAGATACCAATCTGAGGAACCAGCCATGGGACCATATATTTTCGGAAGAGGCTGTGAGTATTTAGAACAAGTTAGTGATTACACCTTGGAAAATAGGTCTCTTTTTGTAAATTATTGTCTACAGGACGGCCTCAGAATTTTGAACACTTGTTTTAGAAAACAAGCGATGAACTACTGTACTTTTCGCGAGAACACAACTGAACATGGTCCGGAATGGACACCTCGGAAGTATGCACAGCTTGACTACTGGTTGGTTGCCGAAAAATGGCAGAAAAATTGCAGGGATGTCTCAGCCAGAACTGACATCTTTTTTTCCTTCTGATCATTATATATTGTTGAAGCTAAGGTTGGTGTAAGATTGGTTGCTGATAAAAATAGCAAATCAAGGGCCCCTAAATTTCGGCAACCGACGCAAGCAGAATTTGTACATTACAATGAATTGCTGACACGGAGACTCAACAATTTGGTGATGAATTCAGAAACTGCTTGGAGTGAAATCTCCAATTGTATCATAGAGACTGCAAAACAAACCTTAACCAAAATTGACCAAAATCAAAGGCGAGAATATTTATCACAAGAAACTTGGCAGAAAATTGTTGAAAGACAACAGGCGCATGAAAGTGGGAACCTTGAAGTTGTTCAGGAACTGTCAAATAAAATCAAGAATCTAGCTAGGCGAGACAAAAGACGTGCTGTTTTTGATTCTATTAGAGAAATTCCGGACCAAAGAGAAAAGTGGACGGGTGTTAAAAAATTGAAAAAAGAACAACAGCCAAGGTTCATCCACATGAAGGATCTCCAAGGAGAATATGTAGCGCCGCGTAATAGGGCAGAAGCAGTTGCCACTTATCTTCAGGACAAACACTGGACAAATGACAACAACACACCTGTTGACCGGACGGACCGAATACAGGACTTCAGACATTTGTTTGACTTGAGACCGTTTACTATGACAGAGTTTGACGCTGCTTTGTCTTCTTCCAAAAAGAACAAGCAACCGGGACCGGACAATGTTATAATGGAGCTTTTCTCTTGGTTGAACTCTGAAAACAAAACTTGGTTTCTCCGTCTTGTGAACTTATGGTGGAGTAACCAATATGCCCCTGAAGATCTCTTTTTTGCTCGCGTGGTGCCCATCTATAAGAAAGGAGATACAGACGATCCAGCGAACTACAGACCTATATCATTGTTAAATTCTTTCTACAAGCTTTACATGATTCTGATACGGCAGAGGCTTCAGGTGGTATTAGAGGACACGTTAACGCAAACACAGTATGGGTTTAGGCCATCTAGAAGTACCTCGCATGCACTGTTTTTGACTAGGCGTATGCAAGATATCGCAGAACAACAGGGTTCAAATCTTATTATAACTTTTCTTGACTGGAAACAAGCTTTCGATAAGGTACAACACGACAAACTTTACATAGCGTTAAACAGGCTTGGAATTCACGACCATTTCATTCAAGTCATCAAAAACTGCTACCGTAACCCCTGTTTCTTTGTTGAAGACGAATTTGGTAAGTCGTTACCCAAACGCCAAAGGTCAGGTATACGTCAAGGATGTCCTCTATCGCCTTACTTATTTGTTCTGGTCATGAGCGTGATTGATAATGATGTGAATTACCACCTAGACAGACGCACTTTAGGAACCAGAAAGCCAGGTATCAGCTTCGATCGAATTTACTATGCCGATGATACTGTACTCCTAGCCACCAATACTTATTCTGCCAATAGGATTCTCTGGGCTGTTGAACGGGTTTCACTGCAGTTTGGCCTTAAATTGAACAGAGGCAAGTGTTCGTATATCGCTATGAATGGGAACAATAATCTCAGATTCGCAGATGGGACCAAACTTTGTAGATGCACTGAAACAACATACTTAGGACATCATATCACACGAAGTATGAACATGAGACAGGAAATCGGATACAGAATGCAGCAGACGATGGCTGCTTGGACCAAATTAAAACCTTTTTGGAAAGCATCCAATTGCACTGTTGGTTGGAGACTACGCGTTTATCAGGCTGTCATTCAAAACAAACTGATTTATGGTCTTGAAACCGTGCACTTTACACAGGCAATGCTAAACAAGATTGACGCGTTTCAACTTCGGGGGCTTAGATCTATATTAAATCTAGAGCCCACATTTGTTAACAGAAGAAACACCAACGAATTTGTACTCAGAATGGCTTCCGAAAAAGCTGGGCACGAAGTGAAACTTTTCTCCGAACTTCTTTTGGACAAACGAGTTAAACTATCTGGACACCTTTTGAGAGCAACAGACTCGGACCCAATGAGACAAGTAGTTTATTCTCCTCAATCAGCAAACGCATATCCGATTGGTAAAAGGAGGGTAGGAGCGCCTAGGCAACAATGGCGCCACTTCACCCATAAACATATTTGGAACAAACTTACGAACGGATGGACGGACTATTTAAACACGGACGAGCAAAACAGGCGAATCCACCAAATGGCTCTCGCACGACAATTTTAAGCTGTCGCAGTGCCGGCCCACGGACGCTTTAGCGACCATGGCCGGAAAAAAACTGGTTATTGTTTGAATATGTGGCTGCTAGAATAAGCTGCAGATGTCAGAATTTGTGGCAAGTGAAATGTTGTAATATATTTCAGAACATGTCCCAGATAACACGGCAGAATTTATGGCAAACGAGATGTCATCATGTCTGCAAGGATAATGAGATATAGAGCATATTCAGAGAACAAGTCAGAACACATGTCACATGAAGTGTGATGAGGCCATAAAATGCAAAAATAGTGTCGTGGTTAAACGTGTCAGCTCTATCTAAGATTATATCAGAATATGTTTTCCAGTCAGCAAATTTGTCAGCAGATCTGTTGGAATATGTCACAGTAAAAACCAGTCAATATGTCAAGTAAAAACATGTCAGTACATTTGCGATTTTCTTTTTTTGCTGGGGATGCCTCGAAGTAAAGAACTGAAACAATCGAGTCACTAATTGGGGCCATCCCAATTTTTGGAGGAATTCTTTTGCCATCGAAATTGGGTTCCTGTGACAGCTGTGACAATTTGCCAGTAGAGACCCTGATCCTGGTGGGGCTAATCGCCGATTTTTTTTTTCCTCTACGATTTAACGGACTTGCGAAACGAATTGGGAGTCTCCACTCCTTTTCCATTTTTTCAAGGCCTATAGTATATATAGTATATATATAGTGTATATATATATATGTCAGTAATATATCAGTAGATCATTCCATCATCTCATCATATCATCTTTCAGAATCTAAGATCCCAGGTTGTACAGTCCCATGAAGCTGCAGAAGGACTGTTTGGTGACCCTACGACCTGCCTGTCAGATTTATCAGCTGGATCAACTTTGGCGCCACGAGGATAAGGGCTACGTCTTTAATTCCTTGACAAGGTGAGATTTTGAGGGAAAAAAATGGAACAAGTGTGTCTTTCTATGGAGGTTCCAGTCTTTTCCTTGGCCAGAAAAGATATGATAAAATCATATAAAATCCTCGTTGAATTCAAGCCTCCTAGTAGTCCTATAGTGTTCCGTTCCAAGAAAAGAAGCAGGACATTTGCAGGAAATTCGTTTTTCATTCCCACAAGTAGGGGCGATGTTTACCTTGAGCCAAGTCAAACGGTGAAAAAAAATGGTTCAGCTGAGGCCGGAGGCCTTCTTTGAGCAGCAACACCCTGCTGACCTCATGCCGGACAAGACCCGGTTGCCGGAGTGGAACATGGCAGTCCTTGAGAACCCGCAGGGGGACCCCTTCGAACTGGAAAACCATGACGTTGAGGACATGGCATCGGCTTCAGTGCCGAAGAAGACGCTGGTGTTACAAATTCATGAAGAAGGCAAGACTCGGAACAGGAAGCGTCAGACCTTGCGGGGCTGGCCGGTGTTGTATGAGGATGAATGGGAAAACATCGAAAAAATGCTGAAACTTGGCAAGTACGCGGCATCAGATGAGATTGCCTTCTTTCGAATGGGGGCTCCGGAGTCGCAGAATCTTGTCGATGCAGTGAAGCTGGATGCAGACGCTTTGCAGAATTTCATTCATGAAGAACAAGGTCGCGCTGAAGAATCAGGGAAACTATCGGCACCTTGGCTGGAACCAGGGTGATTCATGATAGCTCAGGTTCCCTGGAGGTACCACTCCGCAAGTCCCACAGATAGCTGTGTCAATGATGAAGGGTCACCAGTTCATCGCTAGTGGATTTAAGATGTGTTAAGTAGATGATTAGGGTGACAGTCAGCAAGTGTGTGAAACACAATTTTTTAGGAGGTTTTATGGCTCAGGACTGCATAAAATGGACGGGTGAAAGGAAGGAAGTGCACAAAATGCTGTGTTGCATTTTTTGTGGCGCGGTCGCCAGGGGAGGAACAAGCGAAGGTCTGTGTTTCCAGGTGTGCGGGCATGAGGAAAGCCGTGAGAAAATGTACAACAGACTTCAGTGAGCGCTCGGTTTTGCCAAAACATCCACAAACACCTCACTGCAACAGCAGTTTTGAGGTTGGGAAAATGAACACAAGACTGGAGGGAGAGCTCGACTTTACCAAAGACTGTACAAATCACTGAAATCCGAGAAATGAGCACGAGACTGAAGGAGAGCTGGATTTTTTCCAAATATGTACAGCGCATCCACAGTGAGATGCGCGGAATGATGTGGCGCGACCTTGATGACACCAGCATTGCTAAGCTGCAGTGTTGGAGCTTTGCCAAGGTGAAGGCTTGAGACGAGTGGGAAAAGAATGGAAAAGAGGTGTCCTGAAGAAAAGAACATCTGAGAGTCAGAGCCGAGCGAAGAGGTAGCTCGAAGAAATTGTCCAGAGAAGAGCTCGGAAATGTAGCCCAGAGAAGAAATCAGAGAAGAGTTGTTAGAGAGAAATTGTTTAGAGAAAAGGAAGCTCATTCACTGGTCATTCGCTGCATGTTTTTGTTGTGGCTTCAACTGTTCAATGCCTTGCGGCTGCTGGAAATAACTTTCCGGGGGTCTGAACTTGTGTCGCATTAGCTAGCGTTGGCCATGACCCATAGAAAATCAGAATTCAGGTGTTTATGGATAGTGACCTATATATGGATGTTTCAGGTGTTTATGAATTTTTTCTGCATGATCCATTTTCTGCTGATTGTAGGTCATAGTATGGTCATACAGTCATACAGTAGTTTATTTGCTGATCCATTCAGCAAGCGCTTCAACTGTTGGCTGGTTGCAATGCTTGGAACGGCTTAAAAATAAGGTGGTAAACCCAACAAAAAAAACAATCCCCAAGTACCGTTGTTTTCATGGTTGCTATAAACGCGCCTCTCACGGTATGGGATTTCCCACTTTTTTTTTTTTTTAAACACGGTTTCCCCTCAACACGATCTGGTTGGTGGTTTGGCACATGGCTTTTGTTTTTCCATAGGGAATGTCATCATCCCAACTGATGAACTCATATTTTTCAGAGGGATAGGTCAACCACCAGGAAAAAAAAATCTCTCCAGGCCACTGTGGACGTCAATATCACCAAGATCACCCCCGAACTGCACATCCCTGAGCTTGCAATTCTCGCGCCAGTGCGGAGTGAAAGCATTGGTGAACTCAGGAGTTGGTCTCCGATGCCGCGGCATCATGGTGGCTCATGTAGATTCAGAGCTTACACAGAGCTATTTGGATACATAGTTTGGGCTCAATTTGAATTCAAAAACCATTTGTTTCAAAAGAACTAGCCGCAACTTGTCTTCGCAATTGGCATTTCCTTGGAAATGGGTATGGATCAATACCTATTAATACCATTTTTAATGGGATGAACATCCATTTACCAGCTATTTTGATGTCCACCAGGGGTATAGGGTTTTGACACACTGCCAAATCTTTCCCGTGAGAATTGCAGGAGAAGACTGGCTGCCAAGTTCGGAATTGGCAGCCGCTTGCTCCTTTCTCAGGGACAGGATGGACGAAATCTGCTGGAAGATGATGTGCAACTTGAAAGCCTACTGGAGGACACATCGAAGATCGAGATTCACTACCTCAAAGGCTTCGATCATCCCCACATCATGAAGCTCCTGGAGGACATCTGTCGGACATCGTTTTTGGATCCCAAAAAAATTGGGGATTTCCAAATCGACGTCATTCAATTAGTCAAAGTTTAACATCTGCCAATTTTGGTCCAAGTACCATAGGTTTTTTGGATGAAAATCGGTTGATGTTTTCAAGTACGTTTATGAGACGTCCCTTCTCCCGAAGTATCAAATATCCATAAATATCAATCGAAATCCAGGCGGATTGTTTTGAATCTATTTTGATCTTATGTGATCTTGTTGGATACTACTTATGATATATCCGATTCTATCTCACAACATTTTATTCATCCTATTCTATATCTTACGATTATATTTCTACTGTGTCCTATTACATCTTATTATGTCATATAATTTTATATCGGATTATCTATTAGTCTACCTGTTATCCCTAGTATATCTTATGATATGTTCTTATCTCTCGTTGTCATTCCCATGACAAATCGTCTATACCGAAAGTTTTCGGGACCCAGCCATCTCATTCTTGCTGAGTCGCTTCTATCAGCCATGGCAATCTCACCTCAATTGCAGGAAACCACAATACTTGGTGTTAAAACATGGTCTCCAGTAGATTTTCCAAATAGAATCATTCCACCAAAACGCAAATGGTAGTGTATGGCCAGGGAGAATAACAATAAATAACCTTTGATAATTCACTAGAAACTCCATATTTTAGCGGTAGAACCTATTGTGGTCCACCTATTTTAGCTATGTTATGTACCCATGATATCCTGCTATTGTTTGTGAAGTCTATTTGTTTATTGGTGGCACCATTCTTTTTTGCTTTTGGGTGTTTTTCCAACTTGGGCATCCCGAAACTGTTGGCAGGTGAAAATATCGCATGAAAACTGCCATGAAGCATAAATCCATTAACAGCAACCCCATCAAACCATCACAATATTAAAACCCATTGGATCACATATTCAAAGCAAGTTTAGTTTGCAAACTTCCGAGTTTTCACATTATCATGTCAACCACATCATGTCAAGTTGGGAAGTTAAACAGTGGATCACAGCAACATTTTGGCGGAGGGTGAGAAGGTCTGTGTTTACACGGGCGCCGGCCTCGATTTGCCAAAAAGTTAAGCAATTGAGGGATTTCATGTCATTTTCATATTCATGATGATTTTAATTTCATTGCTTTCCATTCCATTCACTTCAATTCCATTCCACTCCACTCAATTCAATTCCATTCCATGCCATTCCATTTCGTTCATGTCAGCCTTTTTTAAATTTCATTCATTATTTCGTTCGTTTATTCTTTCGTTCCTTCGTTCGTTCACGGATTCCTTGATTCATTGATTGGTTGATTGATTGATTGATTGATTGACTGATTCATTCGTTCGTTCGTTCCTTCATTCGTTCGTTCATTCGTTCATTCATTCATTCCTTCCTTCATTCCTTTCTTCCTTCGTTCGTTCGTTCTTTCCTTCGTTCGTTCGTTCGTTCTTTCACTCATTCATTTGTTCGTTCATTCATTCGTCCATTCGTTCATTCGTGGATTGATTCTTTGGCATCTCAAAAAGCATGTGCTTATTCATTGATGCGCCTCGCAACCTCAATCTTCCTTTTTTTCTGCAGTCCTATAGGGCATTGATTTTCTATGGTCATTGTTCTCTGTCGAAGCGTTCGCGCTGGCATGGCCAGGCATGAATAGAACTCTACATAGATATTAAAACCCTTTTACAATCCCATAGAAAACCAATTGAACATCCTGCTGTTCTGCTAAACCTAATTTGTTATGGTTATGATATCCCAAGTCATCCCCTATGGTGGAATATCCCATTAATTGCCATTAAGCATGTATCCATTACCGAGCACTACTACACTGCATCAAACCAAGTCAACATCCCCATTAAATCCTATGTAAACCCATATAATTTCGAAGATCCTCTTACAGTCCCAAAAACAACCAATAAAATCCTACTATAAACCCCATTTATAATGGCCATATGGCTATGGACCAATACCTATAGATACAATTTGTTAGGGGATGAACATTCATTTACCAGCAATTTTGATGTTCACTAGGTGCCAGGGTTTTGACCCATCCCCATATATCCCCAGGCAAAACATGTCCAGGAGGACTTGGTCGTCAGCCCTTTACCGCACTGGCGCTTTTCCACCGCCACTCTGCGGGGCCCTGAGCACCGTGCTGCTGCGGCACGCGCGGCGCTCATCGATGTGGCCTCGGCACTGCGACATTTGCATCAGAATGGCTGGGGGCACATGGCTCCTTGAAGAAAAATTGGGGTTTGTAGCGAACAAAAATACGGATTTACTCGAGTTTAACCACAAGAAAAAGGTTTTTAATGGGATTTGACCACCGAAAATAGGATTTTAATGGGATTGAGAATAGGATTCAAATGGGATTTAACCAACAAAACATGAATTCAATGCAATTGAACAAACAATTAGTGAGACTTAGCCAGCAAAACTGGGAAACTTAACCACCAAAAACGGAGACTTAATCAGCTTAACCCGCAAACATCACCAACATAAATTGGGATTTCAAGCAATAATTGTCGGCAGGATATATTGGGGATGGAATATAACCAATGATTTGCTGAGTCGTTGATATCTTTTTAGTCTTTATTGCCCACGGATCAGCAATGATCAGCACATCCAAGGATGTGCAGCCATGCAACCTGCAGATCACTGGCCAGGTGGGTTGGTGTTTTCAAGTGGCAGAGTTTAGAAAACTCAGAAGATAAAGAGAGTTTTGGGACATTTACTTTTAGATCTTTTAGAACATGTATGAAAGCCAGAATTTTTTGGGACCAATATGGACTGAGACCCAAGTGGGTAATCTCAGTTCTAGGGGCGAATCTATCAATCTATCAATCTATCAATCTATCATCAATCCATGAATCCATCAATGTATCAATCTATCCATCTCAGTATCTATCTATCTGTCTGTCAATCATTTGATCCATCCGATGAGATAGGAAAATCTATGTGTCTATCTATTGATCCATGTATCTATTTATCTACCCTATTCTATCCCTATTCTATCGTGTAATCCTATCCTATTTCACCCTATTCTATCTGTCCTGACTTGTCCTATATACATATATATATATATAATATCTCTCCCTCTCTTTCTCTATCTACCTTTTATCTACCTTGTTTATCTTTATCTATCTAGTCTACTAGTCTACTAATCTACTAATCTACTGATCTTCTAATCTACCAGTCTACTTACTAATCTGCTAAGCTGCTTATCTACTCTTCTAGTAATCTAGCCATCGATCTATTTACCTACCTACCTACCTACCTATCTATCTCTATCTGAATCCCCATCCCCATCTCCATCTCTATGTCTATGTCTATCTCTATCTATATCTATCTCTATCTATCTCTCTATCTATCTCTCTATCTATCTCTCTATCTATCTCTCTATCTATCGAACGCTCTATCGAACGCTCTATCGAACGCTCTATCTATCTATCTATCAATCTATCTATCTGTCTATCTATCTATCTATCTATAATTCTATTTATCAATCAATCTGTGAATATTTCAACCAATCAATCCATCAATCTATGGATCGATATATCAATCTATCAATATATCAATCTAGCAATTCATAAATCCATCAATCCATCTATCTATCCATCCATCAATCGTTCAATATTCCAATCTTTCAACCTATCAATCAACCAATGAATCAATGAATCAATCAATTCGCCTGCCTGTCTGCCCGTCCATACATTCATCCATCCATCCAACCTATCCAATCCATCGAATCTATACTTATTGCAATGTGTGCTACATTCCTCCATTCTTTACTAAGTATCCAGAAGTCCATGTTGGGTCTCTACATCTATGTCCAAGGATCTCAAAATAACTCAATAAACTGTACTCATCCACCTCAGAAGAAATCAACCATCTTTTCACTGGAGGTGAAAAAGGATACGCCCGAGTCAGTGGACTTGAAGTTGTGCTTGGTGGATGCTGGCAGTGCAGGGTTGTTGGGAAGCGAGTTGAGAACTTGGAGCTCCAGACTTTTGGATTGACATTTTTGAGCTCTGGACTTGGGTCTGTCCGAACATGATGTATGCTTTGGACCCCCAAAAATATCCCAATTCGTGGGAGAACATGATTATAAACTACTGGATGGAACCGGGCGCCACATTTTCAGACAAATTTGCGCCGCTGATTTGAGTGATTTTCACATGGGTGATTCCACCAGACATGAGCAATACGCCCGCGGAAATCAAACAAGGCAATTGAAAATCCACCCAGCTAGAATCCTCCATTTATAGGGGATTTTCCCATATTTTCCAGTGCTTTTACAATCATTTTTCCCATATTTTCCAATTTTCAGGCTGGTGGATTTTTTCCCAGCCACGTTTGATGAGGGTCAATTTGTCGCAGATCCAAGGATATGCCTTACCGCAGGTCAGAAGTGGCGACACGAAAACCATGACGCCTTGGATTTGTCGATGTTTTTTTGGTTTCAACGTGGCAACAATCCACTAGGATTGGGGAATCTACTGGGAATGCTTTAACATTTTGGGTAAACCCTACTGGGATTCTTTATTTTTATTAGGGAAAACACCTACTGGGAAGACTACTTTTTTTTTTTGAGGGTAAACCGTGGCGCCAAGGAAAAAGGCTCTTGACTGGTTTGCTCTTGGAATGACCGTGAAGGATTTGGCTGAAGGACTTTGGCCCCAAGTCACAGTTGGAGAAGAGACACCTTTGACCTTGGTGGAAGCGAGCGAAAAAACCCAGCTGCACGAGGCCGCAGATCGAATTCAAGATTTTCCGAAGCAGATTCACCACAGCTGTAACTCTTAAAGTTCATCTCGTTTTGTTTTCAAGGTGAGGCAAACAAGCCGGTAAGCATCACAGTATCGCAGGCTTCAGCAGTTTCAGCTTCGACGTCGACTTTCTCCCTGGTGGCTTTCCCAGAAGGATCCGTAGAGCGGTTGAGTGAGGCCGACGGTTTTCTGGTCGACGATGCAGAGCGGAAACTGCAGCCTGGTCTTCGGCTGGAGAACTTTGACACAAGGACGAAAACTGAAGGGACTCACAATTGTTTCGGGGTGAACTGCAAGTTTTTGGTCATTTTGAGTAACCATCCAATTTTAAGGGTGCCCAATTGAGACCCATACCCGCGCAGGGAGAGCGTCTTGAAGAAAGTGCGTGAGAATGGGCGGATCTTGAAATCTGTGCCCCCGGGTTTCAAGAGCATGCAGGATGTGGTGATGGCAGCCGTGCAGCAGAATCTTGGGGCCGGTGATTTTTGATTTTGCCAATCTTTTGGAATGAATCCCACCGTGGGAAGACAATTTCGTTTGATGAATAGTTTGGGATTTTTGAGGACAACTAAACCAACCAGTGATGTCGACCAAGCACTTGGGCCCGGCAAGCCGGGCCCGGTGGTTTTGGAAGCCTCGAAATGCACCAACTGAAACCAATACTGGATGGCTGATCAACCGCTAGGCAACCCCTTTTGTTCATAAATAGATCATCCTGATTGAACAATCATTGAGCAACCAATATGTATATATATATATACATACATGGATATAGATATAGATTGTAGATCATTGTTTTACCACTCGTTCAGGAACCAACGCAATTTCAAGGGAGTTCAATCACACTTTCAATTTGCAAATTATTGGGATCTCAACCCAAAAGTTGACAGACTCAATTTTACCTCCAACGTTTCCATCCGTGTCACGTGGTGGGTTCTTCCCTATTCTTGGTGTCCAACTCAGCACCCTGAAACAACGGGGTAAAATTTTAGGATGGTACCAACTCTGTTTTGAGCAAACCTAGGAACCAACCTTCTGCCCGTTTACGTTGGGATCCATGAGCGAATGAACTGAGCCCAGGACTGGTTGGGCGCTGCAGTTTGCCGATGACGAGCATCGCGGAAATCGCGACATCGTCTTGGCAGCAGTGCGCCGCGACGGGCAAGCCCTAGAGTTTGCATCCTCGCAGCTGCAAAAAGAGACTTGACCTGAAGAAAATGGATGATGGTGTAATGTGGTAAACCCTTATCACATTCCCCTTCTTATTAGTGGGTAATATAACAACTATATGTCATATAGGGAATGTAACAACTCCCAACAATAAAACACGGAGGTGTTTTGTAATTATGGGTCTGCGGCTGTTTTTATGGGCTGTATCCGCAGAGAATGGCAATTTTTCAGAGAGGGTAAAATTTCATGAGAAACTTGGGGATTTTGGAATAGGGGGGGTACCATTTAAGTATTGGATTATGACTATTGGAGGAGTACCCCCCAATTAAACAGCCCTTTGGGGTTTATTAATCCAGGGTTGACATTACTCTATTTTCGGCAGGCTGATAAATCACAATTTTTTTCGCAGATGATGATCTTGCAGCACACTCTTTGGATTCAACGTGCAAGAAACTCAAGCTTCTAGCATACAAGACATGGGGCATTTCATCATTTAATATGCGAAAACTTGGCAGTTGAATCTGCAATTATTTTGGATTTGGCATGCATTTTTTGAAGGTTTGGCCTGCAAATTGGGTTATATTTGCGACAAATATGGACTTATGAATTTTACTTGCAAAAAGGAGGATTCAACCTGCAGCCAAATGGCTATTCGACTTGCAAAAACATCGGATTCTAAGCTGCAAAATCAGGATTTGGCCTGCAAAAATGAGATCTTAATCTGCAATGAGGATTTTGAGAATTACCGTTCGAAAGGTGCATAGTTCGCTTTCAAAACTGCGGGAGGTCACCTGCAAAAATATATGGAACCCTGGGGATTTAACCTTCAAACAGAACATTTGACACATTATATATATATATTATATTACACATACATGATTGATGGTTTGGCTTGCACATGTGGATGGAGTCTATTTGGAAACCAGAATTTGGCTTGCAAACACATGCAAAGAAGAGGGATTAAAACTTCAGGAATTGGGATTCAACATGCAAAACAACTGAAGAATCAGGATTTTGAGTGCAAAACGTGAGCATGCAACCCTGCAAAACCGAGGATGTGTTGCACACATATATTTTAATCCGCAATCATGAGGATTTTGCATGCACAAAATGTGAAAGCCTGCAAACATGTGGATGTTGTTTCACATGCAAAAGCTGGGATCTGATCTGCACACATTTTCGGATTCTACCTTGCGAACAGGAGGTCTTCAAGAGATTCCTTGGAATCCTATCTCACAGTTTGATCCTGACACCCACTTTTTGGAAAGGTGGTTTCAGAATTGTCTTCCAAGTGAGAAAAGGTTATAATTTTGGATGGTTTTTTCCATGTTTTTCCAACCTCTGAGGATCCAGAGGTAGTACTGGAAGCTGTGAAGAACAGCGGCTGGGCCCTGGAGTTTGCCTCGGACTCCCTGCGCAACGCTCCCGCGGTGGTGGCCGAGGCGGTTCGCTTCAACCCCTGGGCTCTGGAGTTGGCTGAAAAGCTGCAGCAGAACTACGTCCTGACCTGGGAGAAGCAACCAACAAAGGGGGTGGAGAGTAAGCTTCCCCTGACCTGGGCTGCATTGAAGCTGTGAGTCAGAAAACTCAGCATAAAACTCATAAAACCTCCAAAAGTGTGGGGTGTTGAAGAGGCTGCGAGAGAGCTCTGTCTTATCAGAGATTTAGGAATCAACTTCAGGTTCGACATTTTGGGAAAAAACATCAAATAGATCTTTCCATTGATTTGAATTTCCATCATTTGAATTCATTTGGGGACTATCAACTTAAAAATTTTAGAACAACCATCAATCAAATATGATACTAAATTTATACCCACAGAAATAATCAAATATTATATGAGTTTTATGACCCCTTAGTCGCCAATCTTACCCCACAGTTCCAAGTATTGCTTCGGTTCAACCGGTCCGTAGCATGATCTCCTGGCATTGCGCCGAGCTAGTGCAGCTGATGGACTAGTCATAGCGAGCTGCGAAAAAGCGCCGCGCCAGGGTGCAGTGTGTGAAGTGGAACAGATGGGCCAGTCAGATGGGGATAACATCTATATATGTATATATATATACATACATATATATATATATACATACATATATATATATACATACATATATACATATTATATATATACATATACATATATATAATATAATGGGGAAAACTGGACAGATCAGTTCATCTATGTTCATCTGGTTTTTACCGGTCTGATGGCAGATTTCCTTGATCGAATCAATCCGTTGCGAAGGCGAAAACGGTGCTGGTTATGACCCAGCAGCAACCGCAGTTTGAGTTATTTTTAGTACTGAAATTTTGCTGAGTGATCATGGTGTCCCTGCGTAACTCCACCAAAAGGACGAAGTTGAGTTGACCGCGCGGAGCTGGCTCAAAAGGTCAGTTTTCAGGCACCAGCACCATTGGTTTCGGAGCAGGAAACAATGACTGATTTGGGGCCGCCCAAGCGTAGTCAATGTGGAGCAGATCATCTCAAACCTCAAAGTCTGAAGCTGGCTATCAAAGTTCTTCCCCAACATGGTTTCCTCCAGAGTAAAAAGTGACAAGTCTTTTGTCTCGCCATGTCATCAAGCCCAATGATCGTAGTTTGTTTCATACCCATGTCTATCGATTCCGCATTGTTGACAAAACTGACATTTTTTTAAAAGCACACGCCTTCATTGTTTTAGCATCGTTTGACACAACATGGCCAGTTTTTGATTGTTAAAACATCCATATGGCATGTCAACCAACGGGGTATACCCCAAAATGAACATGATGAAAGACCATAGGATTTCAAGGGTTTTCCCATAATTTCTCAGGTACCACACCGGTTTCCTGAAATGCGCCCCTAAATCATCCATTTGATGGTTCGGATTTTCATGAAAACCAGACGGGGCTATTGGGGATAGCCCATGACGAGAGGAAAGCCCCATCCTTTTTTTTGGTCACCTATTGCCCCACAGAAAAACCACCATCCCCCCCATCCCTATGCAGCCCTGCGCGCGCACTTGGGGGGTTTTGGGACCTGCGCAGCCTGCGCCTGCGCTGTGTGCGAAGAAAGGTCTGAGACAAGGTTGGGCCGAAATTGGCGGCAAAAATGCAGATTAGGCTGGTGATATCAATCTTTGGGCATTGGATGGATGTTCACCCACATGCTTAGCATCAACAAACTGTCTATGAACCTGGGTTTGTTGAATCGGTGACTTTTCTAAAAGGTTTTCCCAATGGTATATCCACCGTAAATCCACCGTGGGGAATCTGCGAGGAACCAGTTGTGGAGATCGTGGGATGGAATCCAATATATTTCCAGAACCATGGAAAGGACCCCCATTTCAATTGGAAACTGATCTTCCAGCTTCCTATTTGGCAGGGTCCAATGGATAATATGGGGGATGGTAGCATGTATAATTTATCAACAATAATGGAGATGATCAGTGGGAAATCTGGGTGAATTATTCGCGACATTACTGGCACCACACGACATGATGGTTGACCAAAGTTCAGCGAGTTTTTTGAAATGCAATTCGGTAGTCAAACGTGGCAATGGAAATTACCTTATAAAAGGAGGTTTCTAGATGGGAAAATCACATTTAGGGTGAATTTTCCATTGCCATGTTTTGTACCGGAGGGTAACTCAGCCAACTATTCCGTATCTATCCTTATTTGGTAGATCCACAAGTCAGCCACGCCTCATTCGGGGCTCTATGAAGCGGGATTTACAACATTGGTCTACCATAGCACGAATCAACAGCACATATCAACAACAATCGGGATATAACTATAACTATAATCAATATTGCAAAATAATGTAATGTGAGTAAAGCAATAGTAAACCATGCGCTTTTTTTTTCTCCATACATGGGTGGGAATTCAACCATCAATCCATACCGGTGGTTGATGACATTGCTTTACTAATATTAAAACACAGCTACTTCGTGGTTCAAACATCAACCTTACTTGGGATGATGATCCCGACAATAGTGGGCTTCAAATTAACCACAATGGATGCATAGATCACCAAGAATGGATCTATTCCAGCAAGACTTGCTACATCGGGCTTCCACAATAAAGGGAACATCCGGGCAACATCTAGTGGCTAACAACCACTGATTGCGGATGCAAAAGTGCAATTTAAGTGCATCCGAGTTGATTGGGGGTAGCATGAGCGACAATCATGCAGACTTTGATACGTGTGTATCCAGCATATTGGACATATCAAGCAAGAAAAATGGGGGTGGAAAAAGATCATAAAATGACCCAAGATGTGGGTCATATAAAGTCATATAAAGTCATAGAAAAATGGGGGGTTTCCTAATTTTTGGGGCTACCCCCCAGTTTTTTTCACCATCCAGCTGACCATCCCCATGGATTTTTCTTGAGGCTATTCCGGTTGTGGGGTCCCATGGGGAGCTGGAAAAATGGGTGGATTCCGCCAGTTGTTATGATAAAAATCGTGGTATAATTACCCTCTGGTAATTTAACATAACTATGGAAAATCACCATTTATAGTGAATTATCCCATGAAAAATGGTGATTTTCCATAGTTATGTTAAATTACCAGAGGGTATGGTTAATTGGATGATGGGAAAAATGGAACCGGAAAGCCCCATATTTGATGGTAAAAACCCATGGGTTTCCGGTTAATTTTTTCCCGTGAAAACCAATCCAGTGAATAATTATGGTTTATGCTTGGGAGAAATTATGATAAATTCTGGTTGGCCGTAGTCACCATCTCATTTTTGAGTAACTTATTGTGGCATGTATCCGTATAGACAGCAAGACATGTGGGGGTTCCCCATGGAAGCATAGGAATTCTTGGACAGTTGCTGGACGATAGTTACAAAGATCATCATGGGATGAGAGTGCCTTCTAACTTTGGCAGTGGTGCCCCCACAATGCTTTGTGCCTGGCGGCAGAGGTTTTGCCGCAGCATGCTGACTCTCACAGGCATTGCTTCCAGCTGCGCCTTGCCTGGATGTTTACAAGCTGCATTCCCTACGGAGGCTGCTAAGTGCTGCAGGCCCTGGAGGGTGGGATGCTGGAGGAACGGATCCAACTCATGGAGTTGGCCAACTTCTATTCCCGAAAAGCCAAAAGGCTTCTGCTGAAGAAGCGATGGACAGCCGCAAAGAAGCAATCGACAGCGGCAAAGAAATATTTCCTGGCACACAATTTGCATAGGATGGGGCTCAGACGGAGCAGGAGCGCTTGTTGGACGCGGCACCTCGCTGAGGACATCACCCATCCAGCAAGGGAAAGGTGGAGGGGTGGGACTGCCAGCTGATTCCGCAAACCTATGTCGCCGCAAACCTATGTTGCAGTGATGTTCAAGTGCTGCAGGAATCCTGAACGTGCGCGGAGTTCAGTGCAAGCCATAGGGCTATGGCCAAGCTGGTGAAGGAGGATGCCGGCGGCAGCGCTCCCTCCTCGAAGAAGAAGAAGAACGGTTTGGCAACGGCACAACTAGAGGCTGTGGTGTGGCACCATGCATACGGCGCAAAGATTCAAAATCAACCTTCTCGCCTTTTCTCCGGGGGGCTGGATTGGTTGATTGCTGATTGCATTGTACATGTTGCGACGCCGAAGCTCAATATCTCAGAACGATCAAAGTAGCGAAGCATATTTTATAGTAATCAATCCTCCAGCATGTCTTTATCTCTGATCGAAGTTGTGTGGTTGAGCTTGATGTGCCCAGCTCCTTGCTGGTGGAACAAATGAAGGCCTTCGCCACTGCAGCATGTTGTACAACAGCAGCATGAGCCCTCACCTGACTCGCGTTCCATGGCAAGGCCTTTGAAGGAGGGGCGGTCCATTCAAGAACATTTGCAAAGTCTTAAAAGGCAGAGCAGCTTGCTAGATGGCATTTTTGCGTCAATGGAAAATTGGCGTCATTGGATAGCAAAAGGCAAAGGAAAAGGAAAGAAAGGTGAAGGAGGCAAGAAAGGAAAAGGGTCAGGAGACACTCTGAACCCGAAAGGAAAAGCTGACCCTGCAAAAGGAAAGAAAGGAAAAGGCAAACGGGGAAGACATCGAGAAGTACGTCGCAAAGTTCGAACTGTAGCATTTGGAAAGGAGGCAGGGACAAGAAAAGATTGGCCCGTGTTTTGTTTGCGGCAAAGATGGTCATTTAAAGAAGGGCTGTCCGTCTGCCAAACACCAAGGAAAGCCTTCTGGTGGATACGTCGATGCTGTGGAGGATGCCAATCAGCCCGAGGCTGACTCAGAGATCTTTGGTGTCTTGACTACGTCACTGACGAGCAGTGCTGGGAGCGTGGCGCCGGCGGCTGAAGAGTCGCAGCGTAGTGTCAGCTGTGTGTGGATCCGCGGATCCTGCGCGAAGCAGTTCTAGCATTCATGGCTGTTTGGACTGGCCAGTTGACAGTGGGGCCACCAATCATCTTGGCAGATAGAAATTAGTCGTATTTCGAAGTGGTGAAAGAGTACGAAGGAGGAGTGCATCTGAAAGCTGTACATGGCCAGAAGATTTCTGTGAGTAGGGTTGTAGATCTTGCAGTTTATATGGCATGTTTTCCGGGAAATGAAGAACAGTGGCCTGTTTCAAAATGGAAAATTCAACGGGTTACTGTTTTTTAACACAGACATGTCATTGTTGCATCTATTGATTTCAACGTTTTGTCTCCGTACGTGTTCCAAACACAGTTAGGAACTCAATTTGGCCAGTGGACAGAAGTCGTGCCTCAGATTTTGTAATTTGAAGTTTGCTTTGGAGATATATGGCAGGGGTTGGTGGTTTGTTTGTGAAGAACCAGAAACGTCTGGTTGGCATTCAAAATTGCCCGGTTCTCCTGTTTCCAAGAAAAAGCGGAATGCTGATGCCATGGACGTTGACAAAATTTTTCTTTGTTCCTGAGAATGGAGAGACTCCCACGTCACCGGTCAGGACGGCAGCTGAGGGTTCGAAGAAAGTGCCAACTGCCATGACTACCAAATTGGAGAACACAGGGTTGACATATTTGTTGAGGGCTTGAAGTGATGATACTGCATGTGAGGTAACAGGTCGATAGGTTGTGCATGAAGCTTTGGAAGGGTCCACGTCGGTTCATGAGGGTTGCGCGTTTCATGAGTTGTCATGTGACTGCGACTTGCCGGGAAAATCAGCGGATGATGTCTATCAAAGCTGTCTGGAGCTTGGATTTGATCAGCGTCATTTGGAGCTCTTTGAGATTCACGAATGTAGTCATGAGTGGACAGATGGGGACATAGAGTCTTTTGATTGCATGTTTTGACATTTCAGATGGCATGAAGGTTTGGAGGTGCTAAGTTAAGAGCAAACGATGTTCCAGCGGAAGACATGGGGGATCATGCGCTCCCGCCGTTGGATTACAAGTTCTCAGAGGAGGAGAAGGATGCTGGGCCCTCAGAAGAAGATCTGGAGTTGCAGGACATTCCGTTGTTCAAGCGTTTGTCACAAGGCCATGAGCCGTATGTAGAATCCTGTCGTGCATGTGCGAGGTCAAAAGGTCGTATGCCTGCACGTAGAGTCAAGCATGAAAGAAGTCCATTCGAAGTAGCCATAGATATCACGTTCCTGTGTCCTTTGCATATTTTAGTCATGGCAGTGTTGACCACTTCCATGTATGGAGCTGTCCTCTTGCATGATGATGTGGAAAGAAATGCACGGTCATTCAACAACTGGATGAAAGAATTTGGCATGACTGGGAAGCGTCTGGAACACACGTTGGACGGCAAGAGACGCCTAGAGAGCATGGTCAGGGCCTCAATGAACCTGGACAATTGTACACGTTCAGGGGTAACCTTCAAGCCAACTCCCCCGAATAGAAGTCAGAGCAGCGGGAAGTGTGAACCTTGTCATGGGTTGCTGAAACGGTCGTTTGCTGCAAACATGCTTTTCATTGAGAATCAAATTGAGAAACGCATTGCGTTGGAGAGTCGGATTTGTCAGTTTTTGATACCGTACTGTGCAAGGACTTACAGCCTGTTTCATGTTGCCACAGGGTCATTCACAACTGCCACAGAGAAGTTGAAAGGCAGGTCAGGTTGCAAAGGTATAACTACGTATCCATGTGGGCACACAGTTGTAGGGAAACCCACATTCAGCAGTCATCCGAATGAGTTAGAAGAACTGGCAAACGTTGAATATCTAGGGCCAGTAAACTGCCATGGGGGCGGATTTTGGGGAGCATTCGCAGATTGGCCTAAAGTTGGTTTGGTTGATGAGACCAGACAAAGGTTATCAGGTGGCTAGAGTTTTGTCGCCGTTGACATGGGATGTCAGCCAAAAGGAGACGGTAGTTCCACTATCTGGGCCCCCAAAGTCTTGGATTCAGCCGCATGGCACAACACCAGGTTGCATAGCATGTAAACAGCGGGAATCCAAGGGAACCCTGCATGGCAGAGTACATGGTAAGAATTGCAAACAACGTTACAAAGAGTTTCTTGAACAGGAGTTGCGAAAGAGAAGGGAGAGAGAGAGAGAGAGTTCGGAGAAGCAGTTGCTTCCTCCTCCAAAAAGGGCTGATGGGAAACGGCTTCTTCCGGGCCGAATGGCTTAAACAGGGCCAAATCCTCAGATTACCTTCAGGAATTCCCTTTTCACATCTCTGTCTTCTTGAAACACAAGGAATGCATAGTCGTCGCCAACAGCCCGTATACCAAGCAACATTGAAGTTTGGTTAGCCAGAGCATTGAGGTCCCCCACCAAACAAGCACTTGGTGTCAGTGCCTTGACGAGCTGCCATTGTGACGACTTTGCCACCAGATCCGAGTGCGACCTGGTTTCTTACTCCTTGGTGACTTGTGAGACTGTTGCATGTTGTGCATGTGCAGGAGGCCTTATGTCCCCTGCCAGAGCACCGAAAACCGTACAGAGGATGGTGGAATATCTCACCCACGCATCGGGGTTCCAACCCGAATGAAAGAGGCAGGGCCACCGCTGGCAGAATGAGCCCATGAAACCATTCTGAAACGGCGCGTGTTCGGCGGTTGGCAGCTAAAAAGAACATTGATCAGTGATTAGTAGACAAAGAAAATGGTGGGGGGCTAGGAAACACCTGTCACCCCAAACTGGCTACAGGAAAAATTCGGGAGGTTTTGTTCGATAGAGCCGTGGGAGTGTTCGCCAATCTCCCCCAGTCTGGGGCATATTTTTTTGGTGGACCCAGTTACTTAGGGGAATTATTCATTTTGCACTCGCTGCCTTCCTCTTTTTCTGCTTTTTTGCTTCTCTGCTTCTTTGTCTTTTTTGGCTTTTCTGCTTTCGGCTGGTTTGTTTCTGTCCTGGATGCCGGCCTCTTGCAAAGAAGGCGTTTCAACGCCGACAGCATCTTTACAAGGCGCATGCTCTACCAACTGAGCAAAGGAGGCGTCTGTATTGTCGCCGGTATGTTTTCAAAGCATGTGCTTTACCAACTGAGTTAAGGAGGCGCCTATTGCTCAAAAAGCCGGCGTGACCGTATTAAACAACCCTACGGTTTGCAATCTAATTTCCCAGAGTTGATCAAAATCAAACGCTGAAGCTCATGCAAACCTAGCTGTTTCAAACAAGTTCTTCTGTGTTTAGTGGATTGTTGGCAACTGACAGCCCCAAATCATCGACGAAAATTGCAAGTTTGTGGCTGCCCTAAAGCAACACAAACGCCAATCTTCATATGGTCACTGATTCATATTCTGGTTTTGTTGGTAACTTCATCATTTTTGTTGGCAAAATGTCTGACTTTTGCAGGTTAAACATCCCCATCATGACCATCACGATAAACCAATGTTGCCGTCTCCGAAAAAGGGTAAGAACACCAAAATCTTCATTTTGATGAAAAACATCCATTATCTTCCCATGAAACCCCACCATTTTCCCATTCCATAAACATTGAACCCCAGCTGCCATGAATGAAATTTTTCGGATGCCCCATTGATGGCCATCCAACCTATGGATTTTGATCCCTTCAGGCCCAAGATCGCCCTGTGCCGTTTCCTTCGCTGCTGCGGCAGCAGCGGCCTTGGTGAAAAGGGGAAAAAAGGCAGCGCCCAGCACTGAGGTGCCGCGGGGTGCTGGGTGATGCGGTGATGCTTCATTTCATCCCCCAACAGCCGGAAAAAAAATCGAAGCGTACTTTGCTATATGAGTTTGGTAAAATTTTGAATTTGTTTTTTTCTGGCATTGTTATAGTAACTACCCGTTGGATATTCCAAAAGGACCAAACCCTTAATCTTATTTCAGGGGTGTTTGTTCATGGGTGGAAGGGAGTATGATGGGAAGGTGATGAACCCAATTGTAAACAGTCAATTTGGGATGCTTCGTATTTCATTTTTTTTCGGCGTGTACGTATATTAGTGCACGTTATCGACAACAGTCGTGTGCGTAGCATAGACCCATAGACCAAGTCGTGTAGGTTGGACCTCGTCAACAACCTAAGAGGCTCTGTTCCATGTCGTTTTTTATCAACAACTGTTGAAGTCCTTAGAACAAATCATATTGGACACATGCCACTTGAAGTATGGTCCAGTATGATGATCATAGCCGTTGATCGTGGAGACATTCCGGCTGCAGGATCCCATTTTTCGATGGCTCAGCAAAGTTCTGGCCAAGAAAAACCTTGGGCAGGTGCCATTTCAATGGGAATGTTTTCTAGAGGTTGATTCCGATCATAAGTGGCTTTGGTACCTGAAAAGAATGTATTCCAAGTTTTCATTTTTTTTGATTATTTTGCATTATTAGCATGATTTTCGATTATTTTTCATCAATTTCCCTGGTAAAATGACAAGTTCATGGTTGATTTTCGTATCAAAATTGCCAAATCAAATCGGAGGGTCTTTTGGGGCCAATCTCCCATTGATGTACCATGAAAGGTTGGCACCCCCCAGACACCTCAAGTAGGTATTTCTTGGTATCTCGCGGTGTTTGTTGCGTGGCCAAAGTCTGTGGCTTCTGCGTAGGTCTACGCTTTTGGATCTTAAGTTGTTTTTGGCGCCCAATCTGGTTGGTATTGATGTACTTATGCTTGATAACAGTAATATGAACCCTGGATTAATAAACCACTGGGCTGTTTTTTTTTTGGCGGGGCACCATTGTAAAGCAGATTATCATTAGGAGGAGGGGTACCCCCTATTCCATCAACCAGGGTTTATTAATCCGGCATCGACATTACATCTCTACAAAGTGGTGCTACCCCAGTTACAAGCTAGTTTTGAATCCCCCTGGACTATGTACATGTATATATACATATATATATAGATAATACATCTACTGTAAACCCAGCAGTCAACCTACTTAACTCTTATGTTGCTTATAAAATGTTATGATTTATCTACTATATACTTAACATTAGATATAAAACCCACTATATAAACCCACTATATGTTATGATATATGTATAATTGACTATAACTATATACATATGTATATGTTTGTTGATCCACTATATATAAAACCACCTTAATTCTTATCATTACCAGCTCTTCAGGGTACTTCGGCCAGGTCTTGGACGCAGGTACAGGCGGGGGGATCACCGAACAATCGAGGTGTGAACAGGGGCAAAAAAAGGGGAGAGATGCAGAGAAGATCTGCGGTTTATAGGGTTTATATAGGGTTTATAGGGTTTTTAATGGGGTTTCATAGGTTTTTTTTCCTTTTTAATGGATTCCCTACTGTGTTAATGCCGATTTGAGTAGGGGATTTTTGATGATACGACACCATCTTTTGGGGTACCCGGGTTTCAGACCAACCTGGCAACCATCGGTTTTTCAGCAGGAAACATGGGGATTTAACCTTCAAGAGTGGGAAGATGATGAGTACGTCATCAATTCTCCGGTGACTTTAAGTACCCTCTGGTAATTTAACATAGCTATTGAAAATGGCCATTTATAGTGGATTTTCCCATTAAAAATGGTGATTTTCCATAGCTATGTTAAATTACCAGAGGGTATGTTCCTTTGGGATGATCAACGACTTGGGATGATGGTGGAAAAAGACTTGACGAAATATAAAGTATCATCCAAAGTCAGTGTAATTAACAATGGATGTTATCATCAACAATATTTTTTGTTGTAGTCAATGCTATATAATTATAGTTTTTGGATGATGGTATCACGTTGACTATAACAAAAAAACTTAAACTACATCTGAAGCATTTGAGACAAAACCCAAAATATAGCCCCCAATATCCCCAGCAAGGACATGTCACCCCTTCATATGCTCCTAGCAATACGTTAGAAAAACCAACATTTTTAACCACCAACATATGCCTTGAAAAACCACCATTCATGTTCGGTACTAAATTTCCCAAGAAAAAAATATTGATAAACTAACATAGCTATTGAAAATGGCCTTTTATAGTGAGATTTCCCATTCAAAATGGTGATTTTCCATAGTTTTTTGTATGTTTACCAGAGGGTATATTGATTTGCCATTGCCAAAAATAAGGGGGGGGGCCATCCCTTTTGGCTTGAGACAAGCCCAAGCCATGGGGTAAACTTCAGTGGTTCCAGGCCACCATGCCGCTCCAATTTCTGGCAACAGAAATAGCTGGGATTTCAACCATTCCCAAACGGACACAGTGAAAAACCAATAGATACTATGATCTATTATATCATCAACTGATACCTGCTGGTCATGATATACAACTCAGAGTCCCACTCAATATTACCCAATGTATCACAGCTCTTTTTCTTATTTACCTGCTGATATGACATGATCAGTAGTTGTTAACTAAAGGTTACGGCAACACCCCCCTGGTTATTTATTTACCAATGGACAAAACAATGAAAATGATCATGAACTGTAAATGAATATCTGATTGGTGGTTTGTTTTTTTTTGTTTTTCCATATATTGGGAATAATCATCCCAACTGAGTTTCATATATTTCAGTGGGGTTGAAACCACCAACCAGATATGATTATCAACTGGTTAGTCAGAATAGGACTATCCTTCAGAAAATTGTGTCATTGGTCCCACTTATTGTATCCCAGCAATGTTCATGATCAAAACTCCATATTATCGTGAAATTCCTTATTATATCCACATCATATGACTCCCCTTATTATATTCCCCTTATTATTCGTGGGCAATATGAGCACAATATGTCATATGATAGGGACTATAACAACTCCCAACCGCCAGAGGGAGTCAGGACCAATAGTATTATAAATCCCAATAAATCTTCCGTAATGTGGTAAAGCCAATAAAGCCAAGGCCACAAAGCATCCCCAATGTTTTGGTTTATGCTTTGTGAAATTGGATATATTTCATCCATTATTATCCATTATTATCATGTTTTGGATATACCAATTGGTTTATGGTTTGTTGGAAATCAATGGATACTATGATCTATTATATCATCAACTGGGATGTCACACCCTCCAGTCATGGTTGCGGTTGCTGAGCAGTAGGGATTCCGAAGTTTTTATTGGGACGGTCCCAGTGGATTCAACATGAATATCATGAAAAATCCCGTGTTTTTAACACCACCATTATCCGAATTAGTATTTTGTGCAATCCCATCATTACCCTCTGGTAAACTAACATAGCTATTGAACATGGCCCAGTCGAAATAGTGGATTTTCCCAGCTAAAAATGGGTGGATATTTCCATAGTTTTTTGTATGTTTACCAGAGGGTAAATAGAAATACATATGTTTTGACACATGGATTATTAATCACCATGTTGTGGTGATATTCCCTATGAAATTGGGTATACCACCATGACTGGCATGATGTTTGTTATAATCACCAGTCATGGTGGCACAATGGGATGCACTACTATGTCTAAGTATTACTTCTGAATGCCAATAATCCCAATTACTGGTGTTTATGTATACCAATTACCACTCATTTGGATCATCATTTCATATACCCTCTGGTAAACTAACAGTTTGCTATTGAAAATGGCCATTGAAATAGTGAGTTTTCCCATTAAAACTGGCGATTTTCCATAGCTTTTTGTTAGTTTACCAGAGGGTATATTGATTACGAATTATCCATTTGAAATGATTCAATTACGAATTATCCAATAATATGATTATCCATTATTATTCATCTATATTATATCCATGTTACTACACATAACAATAATAAATATATATATATGTATATATTTATATATATATATTAATTATTCATATATTTCATATATCATCCAATACTTCTTCATATATTATTTCCCGTTATTTCCAGTATTTGGGACGGAATTCACCGCAGGTCCGGACTCCCTGACATGGCTGGCGCGACAGGAGGCGGAATCCTTGACGGCGGTCACCGCCTGTGCGGCTGGGGTTTTATGTGGGAAAATCGGGATGGAACATGATTTGACCAGGGACTATGAAAACTTGGAGAAATTGAGATGACACAGATGAAATAGATGATTTGATGAGACGAATTTGAAGGCGGAATCAGCATTTTGGATTCAACAAAGGACAATTTTTCACAAGATTCATGAGGATCTAATCAGCACAACTTGGGAAATTTGGGCCCTGGGCTTTGAAAAACACAAAAAAAGGAGGACTTCTGAAGCAAATCTGTGTTAGCCATGTAGTTGTAAAATGGTCAGGTAATGTACTTAGATTGGTCACTGAATGAAATATTACAGCATTGTTTTGCCTATGAGTACTGCCACACTGCCGATTGACCAACTAAGTGTGGTGACAAAAACATATAGCTGGTGTCACACGTGGGGATGTTGGCTTCGTAACCAAATTGCCAAGAAAATGTGGCAGATCATGGAGGGACACTACTTCACCAATCCTTGGGCACAACTCGCCAGATTTGTTGGCGTTCTACTCGCCATGATTCGGGGTATTTTGAAATCATGAAATGTCCCCAAGACTTATCAAATATTCAGCACTGTAGTAAGCCCCAATGGCATGAAAAAATCACCACTATTTTCAAACATACTGCGGATGGTTGCGAAATCCTGAACCACTTGATATATGGTCTATCCCTGAATATTTTTCCCATTACTTACAGTGTTTCATAGTGACCAATAGTTACCAACTGGTGCAGGATTTCGCAACCATTGTCGCTGGGATACTTGACTCATTTTTTATCTCGCTCGTCACAATGGGCCTTATTTTCAGTCACCCAGCGTGAGAGGATTTGACTGATACCCTCTGGTAAATAAACATAGACCCTGAAAATCACCAATTTTTAATGGAAACCAATCTTCCAACCCCTATCTGCCAGGGTCTATGTTAAATTACCAGAGGGTATATTTTTTGTTGAGAGGTGGCTGAAGCAAGTGGTTATCAGCAATAGCTGTCATTCTTATTAATCATAATTTGTTGATGGGAATCACAAATTATATTCGTTACTAATTGTTTTGGTGCTGCATGACAGTAATCATCACAATCACTGAAATTGTTACTAGCAACTGACAATAACTGTCATACACTAACTATATTTTATTGTCTAATTGTCAACTAACCATGATTACGATGATTACCATGACATTAATTTTCATGATCGCAACAATGTGACAGTAACCGCATTAATAACAATAATAACGAGTAATCAATGATACTCACTGGCATCACCATCACCATCATAATCGTCGTGGTAGATTCCAGTTATGGTAACTTCCGCACCGAAACTCCCCAACCCCGCCATCCACCAAGGGGCAATTCTCACCCATGTATTTTTTCACCAAAATTTTGATATGTTCATCCACAAAGCTACTGGAGTTCTGATCACCAGCTGGTTTCGATTGGTTGAAGGTAAGGCCGCCTGCAGGACACCCTGAAAAAATTGGGCGTCATGAATCATGGTTTCCAGTAGATTTTCCCGACAAAACCAATCCAAACTTTCCCAAGGATGGCATGTATGCAACGCTAGAGGATGAGGTTATGGATTTCTTGGACCCTTCACGCGACGAGGTGTGAGATGGAATACTTGCACCAGTTTTTGGGTGGATCAGTTGGGTGAAATGTAGATGGGTCAACACCTATTCTTATCATATTTGGGGGAATGAACATCCATCAACCAGCTACTTTGGGGTACCTAGGGTGCCAGGGTTTTGACTCATAGCCAAATGTTTATGTATATATATATGTATATATATATGTATATATATATGTATATATATATATCTGTATATATATATATACAGATATCTGTACATATATACATATATATATATATATATATTTGCATATGGTTCTTGACTTAAATGTTTTCCAATGGCACCTGAAATTAGAGACCGTTGCATCCCAGTAACCAGTTGCTTGTGGGTTTCCTCATCCTCGGGTATACCTTTTTTTTGTACATAAGTGGAACGTATTGAAGTAGATGTCCGAACCCACTTAATTTTTGATGTATGATCTATTCATATATACCATTCCCACTGGGATATATACTTAATCAGCCACCTCAATAGGCTTCACCAGATCAAGGGTGCGAAATGATGGGGCCCATGGCCAGTATGACCCATGATACCCAATTGATACCCACATGTACAGTCCCCAAAACAAAAAAATCACCATTCAGCAGCTAAGTATATGCAATGACCGTCAATTACCCAAGCACAAGCCTGCTGTGAAACCTTAGCGGCAGGTGCTTGTGGGCAACTGGAAGGACGAAGAGTTTTTGGCACGGAAGAGCTTCGACGTGGTCTTAGCAGATTATTTGCCGCTGGGACGGGTATTTGGTCGACCTTGTGGATGCGTTGGGGATGAAGGTCATGAATCCAAAAAAAAAGGCTGGAGCATCTTGAACATTGCCAAAAAGCCTTGCAATTTTGCTGCAAATGATGGAATTCCCGCTTCCTGGATTTTTATAACAGCCAATTCATATATATATATAAAGAGTAGGTTAAGAAGCCACAAACTGATTATCAACCATTATCATTTGTCCATTGTCTAGAGTATATATCCCCCACATATACATATGTTTCTTTTTAATCAACCATATATATATATAAATTACATTACATATGAGATGCGCATACGGTGTAGAAAAAAATATCGCAATATATATATATACATAACATAAAATTATGTTTTTCTTTTTTATTTTATTTTTAATATAGCATTCTATAGATAACATTATGAAGTATATATATATTTATCATGTATATCTTACTGGTGCTTAGTAGGGAATTTTCGGAAATGATCCATAATCACTATTAATAATAATCCACACTCCCCAATTCCCATCCATTCCCTACGTAAAACGCACCAGTAAGTTGATGGTAAAAATCCCTAGTCACCTGTTAGGGTGGGATCCGTGGACTTCTTCGCACCATACTTCCAGGCTGCAAGGGCTGCATGGGCTGCATGGGTTTTTTGCCTTTTTTGCCTTGCAAAACCATTGGAAACTATAGGAAAATGTGGGAAATCTACGCACTAGATGGAGTATTCTAGAGAAAATCATCTATAACTGGTGGGTTTATGGAAAATCGCCCATGTAGTTTGACGATTTAGCTATACAAGATGATGATGTTTTTTACAGCTATGGTGAACTAGCAGAGGGATCCAGAGGGTTTAAATCGCTCATGATTGGTTGATAGTTGATGGTTTGATGATTTTCAATGATCATGAACCTGGTTGATAGTGTGTCATTGACAGTAAATCTGGCTGATGGCTTGATGATGTTCAATATGACAATTGGTTGATGATAATTTCTGCTGATCTGTTGCTGGAAGTATTTAATTAAGGGGATGGGTCAAAACCTATTGGAAAACCAATCTTTGGGGGAATCAACATCCATTCACCAACTATTTTGTTGGGTACGTTCTGGGTACCGTTTGGTTTTGACCCATAACCAAGCGGCCAAACGGCAGACTTTGGGATCATGATGTTGCTGGGCGTGTCTCTTTGTGCCAGCACTCCAGCAATTTTAATGGTGGTCAACTTTGATCATGAACAACCCGTGGATATCAAGGGTACTCAGGCTTCATGACCTTGGCTCTACGACCATCATTTCTGATCTTCGCTGCAAAGGTCCACTGAAGAAATCAACGAATGGATCCACAATGATAAACCACCCCCAAAATTTCTGGTTTATGATGTTTATGAACTTGGGTATACCTGCAATTTTTGGGATGATCGATTTCATAGCAATGGTTGATACTTGGGGATTGTTCATTTTTCCAAATATGTTGAGAATTGGGGATTGATCATAATTTTCCCTTGAAAATTGCAATTTGTGGATACTTCCCTCATTTTCAGATACCCTCTGGCAAACATACAAAAAGCCACTGAAAATGGCCCAGTCGAAATAGTTGATTTACCCAGCTATAAAATGGTGGATCTTTCCATACTTTTTTGTATGCAACCAGAGGGTAGACCCAAAGTATAGATCCCTGTCTATTGCCAGTAGGCTAATCCTGGGCCCCTCCCATATGCTATGGTTCTATGCATATAAAACTATATAAATACATACATACCCCATCAATATACATTATAGAGTTAGGTGGATTATGTGTATATATATATATATATCCCATACATATCCCATTGATATCCCATTAATATCCGATTAATATCCCATTAATTATCATCAATCTCCCGCAAGACATTCCATCAGTATCCCACTAACATCCGTTAATGACAGTTGGGTCAAACATATCCCATACATATTCCATGAATATCCCATGAAAATCCAATTTTTGATGGTTAAATCCCATGAAACAATTCCATCACACGACTGCTAGGTGGGCCTCCTACGTCGCTTGACTGCCCTGACGAAACCTGGCGGTTTGCTGATTCTGGTGGGCAAAGAACCACAGGAGGAGTGCGGCCCGTGGCTCCCGAAGTCAAAATCTGAGACATCTGGGGCTTCGCTGATATTCAAAGATGACCATATATAGAGACATAGAGTCAAACCATAGAGTGACATAGATGAGTGAACTATGAATGACATTCAGAGTGACACTTATTTTTTGAAAGATAGTGATAGTATGATAGTGATATTCAAAGATAGTGATACTGATATTCAAAGATTCTTGGTGGTTTGAATATAGAAAATCAGGTGTTGAACTTAACGATCTGAGTCCAATGATTTTGGGGTTGAACATGGACTGGGTCGTCCGGGTCGGATGGATCCAGACTTCGCGGCCGGCTGTTGAAGTTGACGGCATCACAGGGAACATGGGTTACGGTTGAATGATAGATAGATGGGAAAAAAAAGCCAGAAAAAATGGAAGGATGAAGGTTGAGCCGATAACTTTGGAGTTAAAATTCAATTTCCTCCCATGCACACACGAATCTATATATTCCTGTTCTATTCCTTTTCTGTTCGATCCCCTATCGGATGTTTTCAGTGCGTTCTCAGGAGCTTAGCTGTGAGGATCCAACCTCTCAACTGGTCTTGGATGTGGAATGCTTCCGAGACGCCGTGATGATGCTGGGAAGGCAACGACCCTACAGGCCACGGATGGGTACGGAAGGGTTTTGATCGGCAACTCCTGTTGTGATAGTCGTAAAGATGAAAACAACAACAGCAACAACAATAATTAATAATGATGATGATAATCATGATAATAGCGATGATAGTGATCTGATAGTGATCTGATAGTGATCTGATAGTGATCTGATAGTGATCTGATAGTGATCTGATAGTGATCTGATAGTGATGATATTGGTCATGGCAACCATCATCAAAAGTAAATCTTTGGTAGCTATCTTGGCAAACAACCATCCCCAAGGACTTTGACCCAGAAATCAAACCTTTGACCCACTGCCAACTCAAGGCCATGATTTCAACGCATGCGTAGAGTGTGTTTTTAAGCCCTGGTTTAGCCACTTTCATAGGTCATATTTCTACTCTACTTGTGTCCTCATGTCTTTTTGGTCACTTATTCTCATGCTTACAATGGACAAGACTTGCGTTTTTTGTGTTGTCCTTCTCTATTTTCATGGCGATTTCCTAGTCTCGATCGCTTTTTCCCTCCCTTGTGCGCTAAAGACATAATTTTCCTGATGATACCACCATTTTTGCTGCTTAAATCCTTCGTTTCGGTGGATGAAATCCATATTTTTCTTGAATAAATCCCCCAATTTTTCTTGGACACCCAATTTTTCATAATTTTTCTTGGTTCAACCTGGTTCAACCACCATTCTTGTTGATTCACCATCATTTTGGGATGGTTACCCTCTGGTAAACTAACAAAACTATGGAAAATCACCATTTTTAATGGGAAAATCCACTATAAATGGCCATTTTCAATAGCTATGTTAAATAAATTACCAGTATAGTTAGCTATTAACCATTAACCATATAGATTATCCATATATTAACCATAGATTATCCATAGATTATCCATGTTAACTTACCAGAGGGTACCACCCCCTTTTTGAAACGATGACTTCAACGGCAGAATCGGCACGAATTTCCGGGTCAGGGAGATGCCGCGGCGCTGGTGTGCCCAGCGTCTGGGCCAGGACTTCGAACTTCTCAAGGCGAGGTTTCACCATCGAAGGGGCTTAATGGTACTTAATGGGGTATATATAATGGGAATATATATATAATACAATATAATATATATAGATATACTATAATATAATATACTATAATATAATATTATCTTATGTTATATTATATTATATTATATCGATATGATATGATATGATATTATATTATAAATAATGTTACAATATATATATATACTCCGAGGGTACATGCCCGAGAAGCTTGCTCTACTAGTTATTTGAGGCTCCGGTTTTGGGGCCTTGGGCCCACCTAGACTTGCATAAAAAGCAAACCCAATGCTTTGATGCACAGCCTACTAAGGCATGAGGTACGAATCACAATGGCTCGGAGGCAAAACTCCCAATTCGGAGGGTTATTCCATTCATAAGCCTTGGGGTATCGCTATTGAATGGTATTGATAGTGACTTCACAACAATAAATCCCAAAAGTAAATCCTCATTCAATATCATTTCAAATAGGCAAATATCCCATATATATATATATATCCCATATATTCCCCAATTATATAAGTTTATTCCATTTATAAATGGGTGAACCAACTGTGGTTATTAACCACTGACAATACGTGGGATGATTCTCCAAGTAGGTTTCAACCAACCAACATGGGGATATATTTACCCAAACATGGGGATATATTTGCTCAAACATGGGATATATAACCAGCTATTGTGAAACATATGGAGAGAGAGAGAGAGAGATAGATAGATAGATAGATAGATAAATATATATATATATACACATAGCCAACTATATATAACCAAACCCTATTTAGCACTGTGTTATTTGGCTGGGGATGTAACCCTGCCCCTTGATTTCAGGGACGCCTCTTTCCGCGAAAACTCACAGTGGAGAAGGCTTGGTTCAGAACCATGGTGATGACTTACCCTCTGGTAAACATACGCGCCGTAAACATACAAAAAACTATGGAAAATCACCATTTTTAATGGGAAAACTCACTATCAATGGCAATTTCAATAGCAAACTGTTAAATTACCAGAGGGTTAAAAAAAAATCATTTTAGCAAATCATGAGATCTTGGAGATACTTGATGTGATGGCGGAAAACAATCCATCAACTTATTCATTTTTTTGGAACGCACCACGTGTTTTTCTTTTCGTCCAAGGTGTACTCATCAGTGGTTGACCTGAAAATGTGTACCGAAGATCACTGAAATTTGTGTCTTCTGCGAAGTAGTTTTGAAATGAATTGAGTTGTCTGATCCCCAATTTTTTGCTGTTTGAACCATTTTGAATCCAGTATTTTCTTGGGGCATCCTCCATTGATTGATGCTTTCCAATATCCCAAAAGTATCCATCAGCAGAATCTTGGAATCCAAAACTACCAATCAACAGGATGCTTTTATGGGAAAACTTGGTCAGATACTTTGAGACTTTATTGTTTTTTTCTCATTTTATGGGTGGATTATGGGTGGATATATCATAGTACCCAGCAAACATCATGATCTTTCTCAGGTTTTTTTCCTGCAGTTTTTGGGTTCGGCTGATGATGCGCCTGGGAAAAGCGCAGCGGGCCATCACGGTGTGCGCTGGGGTATTTGCTCCAGCCTTCATCTACAGGCCAGGGTGCAGAAGGGATGGAAGAGGGTCAGACAAGAAAATCACGGTGTGCCTGAAAGGATTAAGCATGGAAATGGTCGAGTTTCAGAAAAGAATTGGCTATTGATAATTGGCCCCTGAACAAGTACTAGGGAGTCAATAGTCAATGTACATCATCACAAAGTTGCCATTTACCCTCTGGTAATTTAACGTAGCTATGGAAAATCACAATTTTTGATGGGAAGACTCACTATAAATGGCCATTTTCAATAGCTATGTTAGTCATTACCAGAGGGTAATCTAAAAACGAAAATGGGTTTTACCTCGAAGAATGGGGAGGTCTCCCAGAAAAGGTGGGTGGTTTCGCCAAGAACATGGCAGTTGGTGATATCAGCAACAAATAGGGGTTTAGTCATGGGGGTACCCCATGACTATGGATGATTTACAATGGAAAATCCTACTAAAATGGATGATCCCCATTTTCGGACACCTCCAAATATGTAAATATGGGACAAAACCATGAAACATGTTTGTTTTTGCGAGCACCCTGCTTATGCCTGCCACCAGCCGTTCGCAACGAAGTGGCGTTGTTGCATTCAACCTGGAAAATTGTGAGCAGCCCAGAACATGACGTGTGCAGCATTATTCTCCCTTTGATATGCATAATAGGATGAGACTTGCATGATATACCCATATTAGGGGATTGTCTTTTCACCATGGGGAATTCGACATAAAGCACCTAAGGATTTCAAACGATGGTGGGATATCGGTGTACCACTATGTTAATACCAGTTGAACACAAGTTCTGGTCTTCTGCGGCACTACTGACCTTGCAGCCCCCTAGCCTTGGCCTTGGACCCAAAAAAGGCTGTTTACCATGTACTGTAGATATGATATTAGATTGGAAGTATTTGGGGAGCAGCCACTTAATTATTTATATAATAAGCCATGGTTTATTGATCCGGGGTTGACATTTTTTGTTTCATTCTACAGTCTTACGAACCTTTCAGATATAGTTCATCCCAATCTGGATGAACTAACCTCACGTCATGAGGTCACAAAAAATTACTTTACTTCGTGTGATCCCCACCATGACATTTATACATGTTCTTACTGGCACATCTTCTGGCATTCTATCTGGCATATCTTCTGGCATATCTTCTGGCATTCTATCTGACATATCTTCTGACATTCTATTTGGCATTCTATCTGGCATATCTTCTGGCATATGATCTGGCATATCTTCTGGCATATCTTCTGGCATTCTATCTGGCATAATCTTCTGGCATTCTATCTGGCATATCTTCTGGCATTCTATCTGACATATCTTCTGACATTCTATTTGGCATTCTATCTGGCATATCTTCTGGCATCTTCTGGCATTCTATCTGACATATCTTCTGACATTCTATTTGGCATTCTATCTGACATATCTTCTGACATTCTATTTGGCATTCTATCTGGCATATCTTCTGGCATATCTTCTGGCATATCTTCTTCTGGCATTCTATCTGATATCTTCTGGCATATCTTCTGACATGGCATTCTATCTGACATATCTTCGGCATTCTATTCTATCTGGCATATCTTCTGGCATATATTCTGACATATCTTCTGGCATTCTATCTGGCATTCTATCTGGCATTCTATCTGGCATATCTTCTGACATATTTTCTGGCATATCTATCTGGCATATCTTCTGGCATATTTTCTGGCATTCTACCTGGCAAATCTTCTGGCACTCTATCTGACATTTTATCTTCCTACATGAGGTCCAGCAGGGAACACTTGGCGTGGATACTCGCGGTTGAGGTCCGGCAGGGAACACTGGGCGTGGATGGTCGTGGTTGAGGTCCGGCAGGGAACACTTGGCATGGATACTCGCGGTTGAGGTCCGGCAGGGAACACTTGGCATGGATATTCGCGGTTGAGGTCCGGCCGGGAACACTGGGCGTGGATGCTCGTGGTTGAGGTCCGGCAGGGAACACTGGGCGTGGGTGGTCGTGGTTGAGGTCCGGCAGAGAACACTGTGGATCGCGGGTCGCAGTTGAGCAAGGACGACGAGGACGACGAGGACGACGAGGACGACGAGGACGACAAGGACGACAAGGATGACAAGGAGGACGAGGAGGAGGAGGAGAGGAGGAGGAGGAGAAGGAGGAGAAGGAGGAGGAGGCAACTGACATAAAATCTAACAACCCTCACCTGGCAGGTGGGGAATGATGGAAATTGGATTCGGGGAATCATCCCGGAATGGCCCAACATGATAACAGTTATTTTCAAGTTTAGTGAATCATTCGAATTCAGCCAGTAGATGATTGTGAAGTCCCATGCAATCAGCCAATGCAGGTCCTGCTTTCTCTCCAAATCTTCCGCGTCGAAGCTTGAGTGGTGCGGCCACAAGCGCCTTCAGCACCATGAGCGGAGCCGCTGCGCCGCTGACATTTTTGGATTCCAGCAACAAGGAGGCGGCCGACCTGCGGGGCTGACCCAAGAGAATCCCGTTTTTGAGCTATCCAGTGGTTAGGAGGGAGCGATTCGGAGCTAGGGGTATTCATATTCCCTTTTTGGATTCACTATTGAATGGGGAGCCAGTTGGAGCTACTTAGAGTTTCCCAACCATCAAATAGTTAGGGTTGCTGCATATGGGGGAAAAGACTCAATGACTTTTCATGACTTTTCTCTATTCAAATCATGGCTTGAATGTTGCTGAATGTTTTCATTTGCTGAAATCCCATTCAATCTATTCAATGATCCAATTCTTCGACATCCCAAATTTCAAATTTCAGCCAATGTACCCTCTGGTAATTTAACAGTTTGCTATTGAAAATGGCCATAGAAATAGTGAGTTTTCCCATTAAACATGGTGATTTTCCATAGCAAACGGTTAAATTACCAGAGGGTAGTTCCTTGTTTTTTGGTTCGACATCGGGTAGCAAAAATCAAGGTGCCGATGGCTGAAGCCTTCAAGGGCAAGTCCGTGGCTCTTTACTTCGCGGGCGAGTGGTAGCTGGACCTGGGAGAGCCGGATAGGGAAACCATGGGAAAACCCATAGGAAACATGGTGATGAACTTGACTTAACCATTGGAAAAATGCTGGTGATATGAAGATTATGTACATGATTATATACTATAAGATACCCATCATATCTCGTTTTTGATAGTTAGTATCCTCGGGTAATCAGCTCCATGGCGAGCTGGGTTCCCTTCCCCCATTTAGTTCGATGATGTTCCAGCCAGCCACGTTTGATTACCAGAGGGTATCCATCCATCCATCCATCCATTCATTCATTCATTCATTCATTCATTCATTCATATTTTTTGGAGTATGTTTTAAATTTTGAATCAATCAATCTCCAGGTGACCAATTATTCGAACTCATTCAATCCACCAACAAAAAGCATGGTTAAGTCACAATTGTCATGCTAAAATAGCAACTTTTGCTGCGTACCTCAATATTCATCCCAGTTCGGATCCGTGACTAATAATCATAACCCAGTGATATATAAGGTACACCCTAGTTATAAAGGGGATGCACCCCCAAGTAAAGCAACCACACATCACTACACCATTTGTTATTGTCTTTTTTGTGGTCAAAAAGCCCAAAGCACAAGTCCACACATTTTAAAACATCTAATCCAATTCTTAATGGCAACTATCACAAGTTTCATGGCAATCATCCATTCTATTAATCATTATTAATCATCTATTGTTATTATGGTTATATATCAGTTTATTGTCCACAGACCCCTATTGTTGCCAGTTAGTACTACTAATAACCACCTGTCGCAGCCTTCCCATACCGGTCCATGCCGAACAGTTGGACATCTGGAAATGATACAGACAGGAACACATCATCCAGTATCAATGGCCATTTCAGGAACCGATTTATTGGAGGTACCTACCATATATAAGGCCTATGTATGGGAATATCCCCACAAAATATGGTCTTATATGGTACAGTACCTCCATTTTAGGATCCTGAAATTCCCATTGACAGTATGAGCAATAACCACCACGTTCCTCCAAGTATATCTTAAGGCCATCTTTTCAAATGGGTGACGTATGGCTATATGGCTACTAACTAGTTATTTTCAGTGGGATGATAACTCTACATATAATGGATATCATGGTTTCTAATAACGGTTATAATTGATAACTAACCAACTAACCAACTAACCATAACCACATATCCGATATATCCCTGGTGAAGATCGAAGACGGCCATCGTTTCCGTCTCGTCATTTCAAGGTGTCCCATGTGCACAGCCTTCACCCCGCAGCTCACAGAGTTTCTGGCGAAGAACGGGGAGAAGAGTGCTGTCTTGGTGAGTAGCGACTTTACCCAGGCGCCTGGAAAAACCCTTTGGGATTTCCATGGGAATTTTCGCGCGGATGTGACCTGCAAAAATGGTGCTGAAGCTGGACAAAGGGTGATCTCAAGGAAAAAGTGGACTTAAACTCAACAAATTGGGATTTTCATCAGGGAACCTGGAAAGAAACACGGAATTTCATGCGCACTTGGGGCGCATCTAACCCTCAAGCGATGGACGCTGAGATCGACTTGGCACCTAGTGATTTTACGGGCAAAAGATGGGGATGGAACCTCGATTTTTCTAGTGATTTTTCTTGTGGTGAAGTCCATTTTTTCTACATGATATACCCTCTGGTAAACATACAAAAAACTATGGAAAATCACCATTTTTAATGGGAAAATCCACTATTTCTATGGCCATTTTCAATAGCTATGTTAAATTACCAGAGGGTAGTATTATTGTATATCTATAAATAGTACATAGATGGGAGGTTCCTAAAATAGGGATCATTACCCCAAATCATCCAATTTTTTAGACCATTTTCATATTGAAACCCACGGTCTTGGGGTACCCTCATGTATGGAAACCCCGATATATATATATATATGTGTAAATAAATCAAATCTAGATAAATAAATAAATAAATGACATATATAACATATATAACATATATAACATATATAACATATATAACATATTATACGTATATATATATATAATACATCATATATTTATGATGATTTTTCCAAAGGACAGTTCGCAATTCACTTTCTGAATCGAAACGCGTTGCACGCAGGAGGCTTACGAAACGCACCGTGGCCATTTACCATCCTCCATGATGGCAGTCCCCTACGGCACCGAGCTACAGGAGATGGTGAATTTCACCTTGGCTAAGGGAATTTTCGCCAGGGAAAAAACTTGGTTATGGTTGGTTTTTATGGTTACTTATGCATAGATTATAGTCACTACTATTCACCCCGCTTCGCGTGGGGTGGCCGCCCACACCGCAGGTTTATTTCGGTCCGTGAGAGGGGCTAAGGGTGGTTTTCCCCCGTGGGGGCTCCCCAAGCTAAGAATTTTCACTTTCCCCCTCCGTGGGGGCTCCCCAAGCTAGGGAATTTTCACTTTTCCCCCCGTGGGGGCTCCCCAAGCTAGGGAATTTTCACTTTTCCACCCCCGTGGGGGCTCCCCAAGCCGTGGGGGCTCCCCAAGCCGTGGGGGCTCCCCAAGCTAGGGAATTTTCACTTTTCCCCCCTGAGGTAGCTTTCCCCTTTAAGGGAGCCCTGGAACACTATCCTAAAACACCTGTGTCAAGCAGTGAGCGGCGGACACTTTTCTATGCTGCGGAATTGCTGCTAGTCTTGAGCCATGCGGAGTGCGCATGAAAGATATGAATTAGGTGTACATGTCAACATGCATGAAAGCATTGTGTAGACACGTAAAACAAAATAAATCACAAACAGACACAAATTTTCTTCGTGTCGGAACATGCAAATCTGTTTCACAGGTAGCGCTCAGCCTGTGATCTGCTGTGAGACGGTCCGAAGACAAAAACAAAACTGTACAAAAGCTACTCTCCGCTGTTTGATTTGTGATTTATTTTGTTTTACGTGTCTACACAATGCTTTCATGCATGTTGACATGTACACCTAATTCATATCTTTCATGCGCACTCCGCATGGCTCAAGACTAGCAGCAATTCCGCAGCATAGAAAAGTGTCCGCCGCTCACTGCTTGACACAGGTGTTTTAGGATAGTGTTCCAGGGCTCCCTTAAAGGGGAAAGCTACCTCAAAGTGGTAGCGGAGCCTGTGCCTTCGCCAAGTCTAGATCCGTGTGCCGAACTGCCGTTCTCTGCATACATTCCGTATATCGGACTTGCGGAGGCAACCTGTAAGTCAAGTTAGAGTAGCTGCCATGGTCTTAATCCACAACATGGATTCAGATGAAGAACAACTCCAGATTGTCTCTTATGAAGAGCCTGAAGCATATGCCGCCACCAGTCATTCCGAAAACCGGATGGGCATCAAAATGACACCGAAGGTTCCACCCCAATTTGATGGCCAATCAAGCTGGTTTGAATATGAAGATTTAATTGATGACTGGTTAGGGATCACAACATTGGATGCAGATAAACACGGACCATCATTAAAGAATGCCCTCATTGGTTCCGCTTCTTTTTATAAGTCGATGCTCGATAATGCCCTACTCCGAGATCCGGATCGTGGCCTCGCTCATTTCAAGGACACATTGAGACCATACTTCGTGAAGGGAGTAAATCATGTGTTCCTTTGGCGATTCCTCCAGATGTTTCGCACATATCGAGGCCAGAGCGAATTCGTGCACTGGATAGGGCGATTTGAGATCGCGCAGAAGCGTTTGTTGGCTTCTTGGTCCGATCTGCTGGACATATCCGATCTTCCCGAAGCAGGCACTCAGGCATTTACGGCAGCACTCACAGATGAGCAAAGACTGCACTATAATGGAATAGTAACAGATGAAGATAAGCTGGCTTATCAACAAGAATTGAGAGAACAGACCATAACCAACAGAAGGACCAGACATGCACAGCAGTTTCCATTGTCAGACAATTTGATGTCACTGATTTTTCTAGTGCAAGCAGACCTCAACGAGCAACAAAGAGAGCGTTTTGTCTCGTCTATGAACATCCGTCAGATCGCAATGCCTCAATATACCTATCTCCAAGTGAAACAGCTGTTCTTAGAACTTTTTGCCGTTTCTCGCACAGGTGTTGCAGACCCAAACATCACGCACCGCAAGCGGTCCAACTTCTACGTCATCGACGAGGGCGAGACCGAGGAAGGTGAGTACGGATTTTGGGTCTTTGATGAAGAGACGGGTGAAGAAGGTTTCACAGGTCTGTACACCGAGAACGAGTTCTGGGTTCTCAGCGCCAAGGGTTCATACTCTAAGCGCCGCATCTACGGCAGGTCCTTCAAGAAAGGTAGACCAAAGGGTTATGGCAAGAAAGGAGGAAAGAAATCAAGACCCGGCTTCCGCTCGAGGTCAAAAGGCAAAGGTTTTGCAGCATGGGAAGATGACCAGCAAGACACAGCTTTCTGGGGAAAAGGCAAGGGCAAAGGAAAAAGTAAAAAGGGCAAGAAAGGAATGATGAAAGGAAAGGATTCTTTCAAAGGAATGCCTTCATGGAAAGGAAAAGGAAAAGGTGATGCGAAGAACAAAGGAGGAAACAATCCATTTTTGTCACAACCTCCACAAGCCAATGTAGCACAGGCTGCATCATCCAGTGCATCACAAGCCCCTGAAAAACAAGAAACAGCCCATGCCGAAGAAAGCTGGAGTTATGACTATGACACATACTGGACAGATGACTGGTCAGGTTATGAATCCTACTATGGATATGACGGAGATTACTCCCAAGGTGATTGGTACAATTGGTCATATTTTGCTTCCGCTGAGGAACTGACCGAATCCGAGGACAAGCATTCAGACATCGATTTCGAGGACGGACAGACCGACCAGATCAACCGGTTCTGTTTTTCAGGCATCAGCTTGTTCCGATTGTTCGGACACGAACTTGTAGAGGCTCTCACATTCGTGCTTCTGTTCGTGTCTGTTATGTACCAGTGCTTTTCCGATTTGAACAGGTCCCTATTGAAGAGCATCCGCCAAGTTGAGAAGAGTGTTTCTACCGAAAACGGTGATCTGCATTCGTTTCAGCCGCGCACAAGCCCGCTCTATTCCGTCTCAACGGAAGAGTGTGTATTTCTCAATTATGATCATGGTGCCCAACAAGCATTGCTTTGTGAATATGTAGATTTAGGTTCTCATCCGACTTATGTCATCCTTGACTCAGGTTGCACTCGAGCCATGGGATCCCGCTTTGCCATTGATCGCCTTGTACAGGCTTGCCAGCAACATCCCAAGCGTGATCACATTTGGTTTTCCAAGCAACCGTGTTCAAGTAAGTTTTCATTTGCCAATGGAGAACAATCTACTGTCAAGGAAAGATTAGTGATTCATTTTCGCAATGATCGTGCACAAACTGGTTGGATCACAACATGCGTTGACATCCTGGACAAAGGTAAGGTTCCTATCCTCTTTTCAGTTGAACAAATGAGGAATCTTCGCATGAACATTGAACACACTCCTGTAGGTGAGTTCATGACTTGTCCACTGTTTGGAATGCAGCGCACCGCATTGGCGGTCAGTACATCCAACCATCCAGTCCTTGACATTATGGCTCTTGCTACTTCCAGTTGGAAACCGATGTACAGCTTTCAGTCCGAAGACATCACATGCCCAGCATGCAATGGTAAACATCGACCACATACCAACAAGGAAGGTTGCAAGAGATTCAAGGGATCAGAGCCTAAGCCTGCAGAGGTGCCGAAACCGGCCAAGCCTGATTCTAAGAAGATTGTCAAGAAGATAATTCAGCCTGATAGCAAGTTAGAAGTACCAGCTCAACCTTTTGATCCTGATGAAGAGCCAATGGTGGCCTCTGGACCAAGTTCCGGTTCAAAGGACGGTATCCCAAGACGCTGGGAGCCTCAGATTGAAGAAGAATCCGAAGTCAAACCGGAACCAAAGGTTGAAGTAAAACTTGAAGAAAAGAAAGAACCGTCACCTAAGGGAACTTTGTCACTAGCACTTCAGAGAATTCATGATAAGCTTCAATCACCCACTGAACTTCTCAAGTTGCATTTGAAGCATTATCACATGACCACTGAACAATTCAAGAGAAGAACATCGGCTCTGAAGTTACCGAAAGAAATCTATGACAAATTTGATCAGATTACCAAATCATGTGACACATGTTCCACTGCCAGGATTGCACCATCGAGAGCTAAGGTTTCAGGAATCCGAAGTGAAGTCTTTGGTGAACTTACTTTCATTGATCATGGAGAAGTTCCTATCAATCCTCAGTCAAAACTTCAATTCCTACTTATGTATGACGGTGCAACTTCCTTGACTACTGCCTTTGTAGTTCAAAATAGATCTGATCCGGTGACGATATCTCATCTTCAAGAATACTTTGAAACTTATCAGCTGAATCCAAAATACATTGTTGCCGATCAAGCTTTTATGGGCACTGAGATGGAGAGCTATTACAACCGGCACAGCATCCGGCCAATCTCTCTAGGACCAGGAACACCATGGCCAAATCGAGCTGAAGCAGCCATTCGCATGTTTAAGAAACAGGTCTCATTAATGCTAATTTCCTTGAAAGATGATCCGTTGCTTGCCAACATTACTTATAAACAGTTGTTGAGACAAGCCTGCATTTCAAGGAACACCATGGTAACCCTTGGTGGTGTCACTCCTATTGAATTAGCATTTGGTCGAAGGCCTGCCGATCTTACGGCGATTGAGCTCATGAATCCAGCACAGCTCACGACTGAGGCCCCTGCTCCTGAGAGACAGATTGAAGCACTAAGGTCACTGGCGATGCGAAAGTTTCTAGAGGCAAAACAGTCTGATGACCTTCGAAGAGATATTGCAAGTAAACTTCAACTTAGTGATGGACCATTCTTTCCTGGAGATAAAGTTTACTATTGGACCGAAGACAAATCAAAAATCAAATCAGACGGTTCACATGGAGGAAAATGGATAAAAGGAAAGTTGGTTTCCGTAGATGGCAGCATGGTTGGAGTTGACTTAGGAACCAGAATCGTGAAGGTCAACATCAGTAAAATAAGAAAAGACCATAATCCTATTGAGGATATTGACATTCCTTTAGAACCAATTGCGCTTGCCAGTGCCGACTTTTCGGCCAAAGCTGCCGCCGGTGCCGAATCTTCGGCCAAGGGCGCCTGTACAGCAGTGAAGTCCACTTGCCGCTCAGATGACCATGCAAATAACATCATAGAACACGATGCCATTC